TTGCAAAGCCGTGTGCTTTTGCTCCTATACGCCGAAACTTAGTATTTCCTTTACTGGAAAATGATGTTTAATAACGGCAGTTAACTCAACTCGTTAATAAACCTTTACAGTATCACTAGTTCCTACAATACATATGCCAATTTAGCTCATTACTACTGCATGTTTTCAATTCTTCTAGTGATTTACTCTATGGCTATTGGGTTGAGACTAGGATTCGGGCATAAGAGGATTGAAGAAGACCCAGGGATACCCGCGGGCAGTTTGACTCTACACAAGTGCCTATGTACATATAGTTTATGGCTCATGTGGTGGTACTGTAATAAGAGCGATATTCTCATCTGCTCATACATGTTGCCAGACGGCTGCGGGTGTCATTGTAAAGGTTTACTCTTAACTTCGGTGGCAGTTTTACTTGGAGTGCTCGGCGTTTACTTGGGCAGCTCAGTGCTTACTTGCATACACAACTCTTTACCTTAAGTAAAGTTAGTGTGTATATAACACTTCTTGTCTACCGCTGCCCATCGAGGTGTCAAGACGGATGATGTATTTTTTACTAGAACGTATACGTATGTACGGCTGCAGGTCAACATCTATCTGCGGTAGTAGAGCCAGCCCTCTGTTATCAGCTCCCACGCTCGGTTCTACATTAGCGTTACTGGATTGAAGCCACCCAGATCAAAAAGGTAATTCATCTAAAGACTACAAAAGGGTGCGCGCTTATTAGCTGCCAGATCACTCGCCACAGTTCTTTGGGCGGCTTCAAACCAGCAGCGCGAGTACACAGGCGCCTTCCTATACAGCTTATCAACCGCTACTTATAAATCAATTAGAACCCATTCATACATTCAGGTATTTGGAATCGAGGTTTGGGCGATATTGTCTAACAGATACATGTATGCAGTTTCTTAGCAATCTCACACAAATCACATGTATGCGTGCGTTTTTGACCACCCAACGATCTTAGCAAGTTTGTGCCTTCGACGAGCGTACTCAACTTCTAGTGAGTGAAGATCTCTACTCTTCAAGCATGACAGTGCTTTCTCGGCCTCATTCTTACACACTTGCTAGGCTAGGGAAGCGAGTGGGGAGTTATGATCAGGTTTGCATTTACTCAGTAACAGGATGTTTCGATCGAAGACAACAAGGGTACAATCTCGTATACATGCCACAAAGAACAGGAACCAAGACCTATATCAAAAATTGTTGGCGTGGGGGGGGGGGGGGGGGGGGGTCGACAACGCTATAACAATAAGATGACAGAGGCCCTAAAAAATCCTTTTCTTCCCCCTCTTTCATCAAATAGAGTAGCTGAGAGAATGAAGAGCATTAGGAGGGGACTGTCAGCGAACACACGGTAAAACACGGGCTGATTGAACTGATGCAGGTTCCGAGAGTGCTCGCTATTCCCTCTACTCGTTATTCCCTCAGCTACTCTGAAGGTTAATCACTACTTGGAAATGATCCATAGCTAGGACCCTCATCTGGCGCAGGAGATCGAGCATCACAGAGTCGCGAAAGGTGCGGATCTTCAGGACCTCTGGTAGATTCATTCTGTGATGAAAAATATCTGCGTAAAGCCGGTAATCTTGCTTTGAATTTAAGTCCAAGCTGTTCATTGTCTGAGGTGAGTACAATCCTTGCTCAAAAAAAAACAGTGGGGAAAATACAATGTATTTAGTTCATGGGCCAAAGAAAGGAACGTGAATACCAACCACGATCAGCGGTACCGTAATACCGTGCACAAAAACACTCGAAACCACCATGAACCACACCACCAATGTTGCCGTCTCCTGTAACTTTGCCATAAAGTCCCTAGAAACGCCGTCACGCTGTAGCCCACGCGTATATTCAGAAAGGACAGTGAGATAGAACACTGCACTGACTCCTATTGGTCCAAAGTAACCCGCGAAAACAGCATGTTGCCATGTATGAATTGCGGGAATAAACTTGTGTGCTAGTAGTACAGCGGGCAGGCGTCGCAGAACAAGTAGCGCAAGAGACATGCAGATGAGTTGGGGAAGGGACAATAATGCAGTCTTTTGGAGGAAGGATCCCCAGGGAACGATGAGGCCAAAGTAGGAGAACGCGGTCAGGTTCAGAAGAAGATCTACTGTGGGGGCGAGATGGTCGTCTTTGGTTTCGAGGCGGTACCAGTCACTAGTTCCCCGTTAGAACCGTACACTAGCTAGTAGGTTGATACATCTTAATGTCATACGTACTCAAGAGTAAACACGTTTCCGGCCACAAAGCAAGCAAGTACATCATCGCCGCCAACCATTCCGCAAGTCCCAATGATAAAAAACTTCAAATTCAGTAAGCTCTGTGTTTCTCTGGCATAATCAGACCCCAAGAGCTTGAGAAACTCACCCCCAGTGCCATGGCAAACACAAGAAACGATTCTCGCCCGACCCACTTCCTAGGATTTTACGTTAGATTGGATTCGGCCAAGATATTTCAGCAAAAACTGAAGAGAAAACATTATCAGATGAATTCATTGCATTAAATCGTAAGATATGTGCTCCCTAATATAATAATTTGAAATATCATTAGCTGATTACGACTGGCAGACACTTACTTCTTGATTGCCCAACGCAACATCTTTAAACCTAACCATCCGACAAAAATACCATATACGACGCTGAGACCAATAACATAAAGTATAGTATCACTGAACCATATGCTGAGGGCTCTTGAAGGGTTATCTCCGTACTCGATAAGATATAGTGCCAAAAATAAGAATGGATATCCCAAGCCGTCATTGGCTCCGGATTCAGCGATGATGATATTTTGGAGTCGGGGAGCAATGAACTTGTCTGCAAATCTTCCTTTCACCTATCACACATTATGTGCTGTTTCTCTAAATGAAAGAAGAGGCCTTACTATTGAGTTTGCAAGAACAGGATCTGTAGGTGCGATGCATGCAGCTATCGCAAGGGCTCCGAGCTAGCGGGTATATCACTTAGCAAAAGCTGTGAAACACTCAAAGTGGGTAATATACCATTGTCACTTGTGGAACAAATATCCAGACGATTATACTGCTCATAATCCACATAAAGGTCATCACTGGGCCTAAACCGAGTCAAATCAGCAAAATCTTAGCAGATGCTCGCAGACCCTTACCTAGTAACATAGCCAATGACTTCCCTTCGAGGAGGAGATATTTGCTGGGCAATTGAACACCAACTATCACCAGCTGTATTCCCAGAACAAGTCTGGTAAGGTTTCTTGTGAAATTTTCGATGGTTTCGAGACTAGCATCTATCAGGGGCTTTACCAGGCCCAGGTAAACTGATATGGACCAGAAGGCACCTGTGCCTAAAGCGATAACTATTGCAACATGAACTCTTAGTAATACATTCGAGGAGGAATTAAGAATAGTTGAACATCACTTACATGATTCTGAGAGGTATAAACTCTCTGTAACAACCAAGGAAACTAGGCCAAATGAGATGACGAAACCACCACCCAGCATACATGCTTTGTTGAAGTTGCTGATATCTAGCTTAGGCATTTAGCTGGATGGATTTGATAAAACTGGGCTTGAGGACATGAAAGTGTTTGGTTTTTCTCGAGAGTTTATGATTTCTCGGGTCCCTTTATACTTTAAGCGATGGCACAATGGGGCGGGGGCTCTCAACCTGTCTCCAAGTTACAAAGTGACTGCACATTCCCGCAGCAACCCATACACATGCATTACCTACATCAGGAATAACTCTAAATGAGTTTAGCTGCCCCTAAAAATATAAAAAATTCGATTAGATTTCTGAAGACCCCCAGGCCAGCTGAGCCGTGGATACGTCATTCGAATACCCACCTCGCCATAAACTCCCAGTTAGCACTCACAATACGTTCATTCATTTGAAGATTTGGCGCACAGCTGATTACATATTGTATTTTGTACCCCTACAATATACATGTCTTTATATATACATGTAACGTTTACATGGCACACGTGCACACGTGCACACGTTGACGAATACCGTAAAAAACGACTACAAATGGTTCTGTTCACCGGAAGTTACCCTAATAAAAAACATATCATATATTATTACGTATATCAGTCGAGCGATTTAAACATAACTGTGCTACTTATGATATGTTTCAGTCCTGTCTTTCTCACGGCCGGTCGAGAAGGTGCTATGACGCCAAGAAATAAGCACGCACAAGAAATGAGATGTGAGAAATTCAAGCGGATTAATCCTGACTATTTTGTTAAGGTCCATGTATCCATTAAGTACTCGTGGTGAGGCTTGGGGAGTGTTTTGGGCTCTTGTGGTTCGGGGCCATAAGTAAATGTTTGATAACCTAGAGATTAAGTTGAAGATATCGCGCGAATTTTCAACAGAGACCCGCAGGAATGAACACTCGAAAAGTCATTCAAAACTGAGAATCTGATATTAGAACTTATAAGGCCCAAGACATATTACAGAGGATCTAATGAATCAATTTCTCCGATTTATCTTTAAACTCGCGCGAGTGACAGAACACGCATATTTTTCCTGGAAAATATAACCCTTTCGGTGGAGTAGGCCCAAAGATACTAATATTGACCTTAACACGATAAAATAAAGTGCACTCAGAAAAATGGCACGTGACACATTAACTACATCTTACAAATCAAGCCGCGAGTGATAATCTGTGATAATCTGTGAGTAATCAAGTATCATGATCAACCTAACGACAAATGACTAATGACTGGATTTCATAGGATCAATACAGAATGGATTTAGGTGCATGAGTAAGTCCCTGGGAAAACTCGGGGGTTTCAATAGGCCATCTATGTAAGAAGGGTACTAGGCGTAGCAGCTTCTCCCATGCCACATCATCTGTTGCAAACCAAAGACGCCCTTCGAGCCAGCAAGTACAACTCTCAACATGCTTGGTAATAAAGTCTTTGATTCCAAATCTCTTCTATCAATTTATTCAAAACTTAAACTTTTTCACTTATCCATACAATCACTACCAGTCCTCGCGAGAAAAGAAGTGGGTATCATGCAAAATTAGTCATCGAACTTGATTTTTGTCGCCGCTTTCGCACTGTGAACTAATTAGCAAAGCAAGTAATAAGCAATAGGAAGGTTCTAACTTACCCATCCGTCTCCTTATAGAAAGCGCCATATGCAGAGTGCTCCTTCTTCTTCACTGTAGTCCCGAATTTCAACAAACTCTCCGGTACGGGCTGTCCAGCTGCCTTGAGTACGTTTACGAGAGCACCGGAGTGTGCCTAAATGAAACATTAAAAATTGATTTGCTGAAGCTTTGTAATATGGTTATAGTTTACCTTATCGTGCTCAGTGAAGAAGGTATAAGCCATCCCATCAGCTCCGGCTCTTCCTGTTCGTCCAATACGATGAACATAGTCCTCAATTGTCAATGGGAAAGTAACATTAATAACCAATTTCACCTTCGGGATATCCAATCCTCTCGCTGCGACATCAGTCGCGATCAATAACGGGCAACTGCCGTCTTTAAACTGCCCAAGTGCTCGAGTTCTTTGCTCCTGACTTAAATCTCCATGAATACCAGCAACTCTGAAACCACCCTGGTTACGAAGGAACATCTCTATTCTTGTCGCTTCCTTCTTGTATAGACAGAATACGAGGATACGGTCGTCTTTCATGGCGCCGGACTGGTGTTGTCTGACGAGAGCGAGAAGTCGCTGCTCTTTGGCACGTTGATCGATAACTTCGACAGTCTGCTTGATACGGATGTTCGCGCGGAGATCGTCGCGGTCACCAATTGTGATCTTGACTGGGGTCTTCATGAATGTGGCCGCGAGCTCACGAACGGATGTGGGCCATGTAGCTGTGAACATAAGTGTTTGGCGGGAAGCGGTGGGTGTGACAGAGATGATTTTGCGGATTGCGTCCTCAAAACCTTTATCGAGCATTCTGTCGGCCTCGTCAAGGACTAGGTATGAGACTTGACTTAAGTCTGCACATCCTTCATCGATGAGATCCTGTAATCTTCCGGGAGTTGCTACAATGATGTCCGCACGCTTGAGCTTCTGTCTTTGTTCGTCTTTTGGTACACCACCGTAGATACAGACAGCATTTAGTTTTGCAGCCTTTGAGAACTTCTCCATCGTCTCGTAGATCTGCATTGCTAGCTCTCTGGTGGGTGACACAACTACAACCTTAACACCCTTTGAGCCCTTGGTTGAGGTCTTCAGGGAGGCAATGTGACGAATTGCCGGAACGGAGAATGCTAGCGTCTTGCCAGATCCTGTCTCGGCAACACCAATACAGTCGTAGCCAGAAAGAGTGTATGGCCATGTCGCGGCCTGAATTGGGGTGGGTGCTGAGAAGACTGAGAAATCGAATGTGTGAGAAGGAAGGTAAGAGAACGAGGTTATTGGGCGAAGGTTAGATGAATGTGGGTCATTAATTGAGATGGCGTGTTTATTAAGGTACTCGTCAACTGTAGTCTTCGGAAGGCCTGTCAGCTCGGAGCTCTGAGTGTACCCCGAGGTTGCGGCTGGGGCCCCTGTGGAACCATTGTATTTATCTGTAGCGACTGTCTCCTTCGGAGATTCGGCGCCATTGGTGGTACCGTTTGATTCCGTGGCCTTCTTTGCTTCTTTTGCTGCCTTCTTTGCGGCTTTTCGTTCTTCTTTCGATAACTTTTTGGGCTCTGCCGCTTCTTCTGTAGTTAGAGTATCGACTTCTTGTTCATTTACTGTTTTGCTCTTCTCTTCGCCCTTCTCTTCGCCCTTCTTCTCCTTCTTCTTCTTTTCTTTCTTATCCTTCTTCTCTTTCTTGTCTTTCTTTTCCTTCTTTTCATTCTTTTCCTTCTTCTCTAGCTCAGCACTCACACCATTGGTCTCCTCTTTCTCGGTTCCAGGCGCGGGTGCGGCATCCTCGACGACGGTCTCGGGAATGGTGTCCTTCTTAGACTTAGATTTCTTCTCACTCTTATCCTTCTTTTTCTTTTTGGAGATTAGATCGGCTCCAGCAGCGGCCACTTCGGTCTCGACGTCTTCAATTGTGCGTTTTGCCATTATTTCGTTGGTGATGGAGGTATGGTAGGGAGTGCGTCGTCGCAAGCCTTGCTTCAGCTTTTTTTTTTTTTTTGAGGTTGAAAATTTATGGTGCACGGACAACATGGTGCTTGGCGGTGAGGCTCTTAACAACCCTAGCCCTGAGCTAGTATTTATTCATAACTTCTCACTCGGCAGGTTTATAAAACAGTGCGAGGTCTTATCAGCCTGAGCATGTGAAAGACGAGTCATCGCCGTATGCACATGCCTGTTATGTGTTATAGCTGCCCAACACACCAGCCACAGGTGTCCAATTGTCATAAGAATGCGAAATCACTTTACTTTCCCCGCATTCTGGCATGCGCACCAATGGCTGGCTAACTCCCCAACTTAACCAATTACCCCGTGTGATCCGGCCCCTATGATTGCACGCACATGTGCAATTGCAATTTAATCCGCCAATCATGAAGCCATAAAAAGAGAGAATCAATAGATATCAATGCCTCGTGCCTTTAAATTTAAGTGAAGAATCTCCAGGGGGGTTGGTGGTCGGAGCGATTCCGACCGATTATTGGAAGATATTCACCTGGATGCACATGCGCACACATGACCGATTGATATCTTATGATGCGCAACCATCCACGAGTTCTTGGCACAGACCAATCCTTGCAAGAATGTTACTCTAGGCTTAGAGCCACGATATGGATGCATATGTACATCTTACTCGCATACATATCGGCTCGGTTGGCGTAGGTGCCTACATACTCGGGGCAGGCAATAAGAACCTGAAAATGCAAGCTGCAAGCAGGGGCTCAATTTGGTGTAGCTTTTCGCCAGCCGCGAATCAGAGGTCGTTACCATAAAATGTCATTTTCAGGTTCTTCTTGCCTGCCCCGAGTACATGTACTCTAACAGGCGAGTCACCTATCCTCACTTAATAATATGCAGTGCAACAGACTTAAACTCCAGTGCTTTAATTAGAGCGTTTTAGCTGTGCCACTAGTTGAACAGAAAGTCGGACAGGTTGGACAGAAATTCTAACTATTTTAGCAAAGATCCAGCCAATAAGAGGTGCAGGGCTTTCTGTCCAAGTGCTCGACTTTCTGTTCAACTGGCGCAGCTAAAACGCTCTATTCTCTTAAACAAAGTGGTGCGCAGAGTGGTGACGTTGGGAAAGGATCTGAAAGCGTCGTGTGGCGCCAAACCGGACCTGTGGCGTCGCTTGTTGGAGGGATATTTATTGCATACATGTATTTTACCCCTTTTTCTTTTTACCCCCTGTGATGCCTTCCGAATACCTACATAGTACTTTGCTCGAAGTATTTACTGAAAGTCGAACAGGAATTTCAACAGTCTTGGGAATGCCGATTTTAATTCTTGAGGCTGAGGTAGGTATCGATCCACGCACGTCATTTTGTGGATTGTTTGAACCCAACGCGCTGGAAATGTTAACTAGTGCACATGTATGTACCTCTAGGCATGTAAAGATTCAACCTCCAGGGCCTTTTGAACCAACCAGGGCAATAATTCACTTTCCCCGTATTTGCCACAAGCCAAAATTAACTTTCATCCCGTTCTAATATGGTGCTTCATTACCTAGCGTAGGTATTAGCCACATTGGTAGTATTTTATGTAGGTACTCTTTCGTCGCGCTGGGTGTGCGGGCGGGCCAGGTCCTACCTAGGACTGAACTTTTGAGTACTCTAAAGAGTGGATACCTCTCAGTGGGTCGAGCGCTCAAAAGTTCAGTCCTAGGTAGGACCTGGCCCGCCCGCACACCCAGCGCGACTCCACCCCCGACGAAAGAGTAGGCCTGTCAGTAATATCGTTTGCCTCGGCTTCTTGAAGAAATAGGATGTGTAACGCCGAGCCGAACTTTCCGTGGGCTCGTCTATTTCGGCGAGACATAAGTGAACAGACCAGCTACAACCATAAGCAGCTAGCCTTTCCGAATCGGCCTCTTTTATTTTTATTTTATCAGCATATGTCCTGGCCCTTGTTGATGGTTGTAGAGTTGATGGATGCTTTTATACTTTAATTAATTGTCCTCGGCATCATGTCTCGGTATTTTCTGGGCTACATAAGTACATGTAGTGTAGATGATGACGATAATGCGGGGGCAATAAGTATAGAGTATAGATACATGTATTGGTGCTGACAGTAGCATGGCACTTTAGATAGATATTGAACTGGGGTATCGTCATCTAGGGGGTCAATACCGAAACTGACCCTTGCCAAAGTAGTTGGTTGTGGGTTCATTGTGTTCGCGGATAGCTGCTTGCGCGACAATAGATGCTTCGGTTTTTTCCCTTAATTTTTTCTTTTTTTCAATTCCCATTTTAATTCTCCTAGTGCATATGGTACGGTAAGGACCTTATTGTATACATGTAGGTAATGGGTTTGGTATCAAAGCTTCAAGAGCAGACAGTACTTAAGCAAGTAAATGTGTATCATGTCGCCATAGCTGTCTAGCAATGTTATTGGTGCGCTAGAAGTTACCGAAGGGCTTCGTTTCAGGCGGCAAAAAGAGTAGGTACAACATACAGCGGGAGGTCTAGGATCATAAACAAGATGCCTGATCTCCCGTCAAAGAACGGTGGCTCAGATCATCGTTGTTGGAGAACTCAGGGGTAGAAAGTTAGAGAGAGGTCAAGGGAGAGAGGGGGATTGGACAGGAAACAGCTGTAGGTACTCCAATGCTGCCTACCTAGTGCATGTAGACTACATGTATTTAGTACTGGTATAACTTGGATGTATATGCAAAAGCTACAAACCTGCACCTCATGAACGCTAACTCCGTCGATTCTGTAAATGGATATGCAGATATCATATATTTGCATAGGATAAGCAGGAGATAAAGTATACTAAGCAAACATCGTAAGAGGAGATGCGGAGGGTCTCGCGTCTTCCGTCAATTATTTATCCCTATGTCTGCCTGTCTGTTTAGCTACCGCTACACTTATTTCCCACGCCAGGAGTAACGTTCTAGCTCCGGACAGCTTTCAAAATTTCATCCGTTCTTATTTCTTACTCAGTCATCTCGTGGGAGAAATCGTTCTCCCTTATTTCCTCGATATTTACTTGGGCGTCACACACAAGTTTGAGTTGTCTGGGGTCGGGGTGGGACTCTTTTTCCCCTCCTCTTAACAATTTCTCCTATGCTTGAACCTTGACCCATACCTTACCCATTACATACGCACTACCGTGTCGTAAACCCTTCCTTTCCTTCTGTAATCGATACCGTGTGTGTTGATCCTTCACTCGACAGAAAAGAAGAAAACCTACCTTGTTCACTCACATCTCAATTGGCTACTCACTGCTAGGAGTAGGACTAGTTCCTAGCATAAGCTAACTTCCCTTCCTTCCTTCGCCCTGCAACGTTTCATTGCACCTCTCCTGTTGCAGAGGTTGTGAACCGAGCAACGATAGTTGAGGGATGACAAGCCTAGGGGAGGGCGGTACGGAAGTGAGTTGAGAGGGTCTTTATTGTATCAATCAGTACAAGTGCGTACCGAGTGATAGCAGAAAAGCAGGAAAGAAGGGAGGAGGTCCCTTCCAACAGCCCATTGGCTGGCTGGCCTACAATTCATCAGAATTAATAAAGCTCTAGTAACAGTGGGAGAAAGAGAAAAAGGACAGGTGGGCAAGAGAGACATCCATCAGACACAAAAAAAGGAAATAGGAAAATCCTAAGAGAAAAAAAAACCCAAAGTGAGCATCCCTCCCTGTACCCGCCGAATCAATCCCTCGTTCGTTGCTAACCTTACCTACCTTCAGGGGCAACCCTCACCCCGACTAGACACCTCGTGCCTGGTCCTGCCTAGATTATCCACATTTTTGTTTCTCCCATATTCTAAATCACCAAGTCCCTATCATATTCAAAGTAGCATCTCATTTGCTGGAAACAAGTGCGAAGTTCAGTTAGACCGCATCCCAGCCAGCCAGCCAGCCAGCCTAACCTCCCCCAAATATCTTCCAACCACCCCCAAAGCGGAGGTTTCCTACCCCTCCCCTCTCTAAAATTAAGAAAAAGCAATCTTCAATTGGGTGGGATGGTGCGGTCAAGTGGGACATCAGCAGTAGCATCGCCGTCACCGTCACCAGCTCGCACTGGTGCCGTTGCCAGTACTGCTGCTACTGCTGCTGTTACCGCACCTCGCGTTGGATACCAACGTCCATCTGCTCAGAATAATCACCACCATAACCACCACCCTCCCCCTCACCATAGATCTACCTCATCGGCATCGATATCGTCAACGTCATCTGGGAAGGGGGTGACCGCCACAGCGGCTCCAGTGCATGTGGTGTTATCGCCCGGCTTTGCAAAGTTTGAAAAAGAGAAAATAATACCTTCTACAGCTCAGGTAGAGAGCTCGGATAGTCGGCGTACTATTAGGGGCCGTAGCATTGATCTTTTTGGCATCTCCGGGAGCTTCGATAACGAGGCAAATCTTATTGCGACATCTCCCACCACCATCACAAGCACTACTACCAATACCACCACTAATAACACACCTTCAACCTCGTCCACACCCACAGCTCCCCAATCCAATTCGTCGCCGATATCTAGGTTCCGCCCTGCATTAAAATTGCACTCCCACACAAACGACGCGGTTTCTCAGCTTTCTCCAGCAAGACGTCTTCCCGGTCCTGTTACTGCTATTGCTGCAACAAACCCCTTTCCATTAAGCTATCCCGGAACGAATTCTTCCATAACTACGCCATCGACTGGAACATCCGAAGGGTCTCAGTTCTGGAAATCGTCGCCCCCGCGGCCTCGACGCACGAATCCCGCTGCGCAATTATTCATCGCTACCTCGTCCCCTGCTCCTTACTACGGGATCAACAATACTCCCACACAACATCGCAGCAGCAACGAGGATCCATCGCTTCTCCCCGCGTTCGCGCCAGAGCCGAAGAGTTCGGTTTTTTCGCCCACTGGTTCAGTGAAGGCAAGGGAGTCGCCGAAGGCCAAAACAAGGGGACACAGGTCGCCTAGTCAGAAGGCGATGTTATCATCCGCTCTGCAAAAGGCCAACACGGCGGTCACGCTTGACAATGCAGAGAATTACGAGGGCGCAATGGTGGCATACGGGGATGCTTGTGCGTTACTGGAACAAGTAATGAGGAGAGCTGGAGGAGAAGAGGATAGGAGAAAATTGCAGGCTATAGTGAGCCTCCCACCCCCGCCGCATAGCAGCAGCTGCGATGGCTCTGTGTTCCTGAACCCCGCGATATTTTGATGTTTTCTATAAACCTTGTTCTTTTGCCTTGCATGAAACATTGTGGTTGCCAGGTGCTGGGGAAGTATGTTGAAACGAAGCTAATTTAGGTGTGATTAGCAACAAACATATACCCAGCGTATCGAGGAACTAAAAGCGCTCGCCCCACGGAACGCGACTGCACAAAAACAGCTCCCCGCGCGCCCGCTCACAGAGGAATACACAGATCGTGAAAGCCTCTTCACGCTTGACGATGACGGCGAATCGACAATAATAATTTCAACCGCTACAGCGACGCCTGTCTTTGGTAAGGGGCGCTATGGGAATGGTGTGCCACAAAATAATACCCCTGTACCTCCGAGAACAGATTCATTATATCTAGGTTCAGAAAACTTGATGCCTCCAATATCGCATGAGACCGTACTACCACTACCAATATCTGTATCAAATAGACGCTCAGCCGAACTTATACCTCCCCCGCAACTGTCACCAGTGATATACGCGCCCATATCACCCAGGAGAGAGGATTTCATGGAGGGTGATGGTGATGTGATGACAAGATCGTTTATGGAGCATAACAATCGGGAGTCATTCACATTTGGCGCCGCTGCACTCTCACCAAGGTTTTCGCCGCAGAAGGAACGGGATTATGGGATTCGGAGATCGGGCTCTGATGCTTCTTCAATTTCGTCGAGGCGGTCCTCACATCGACAGTCAAATATGAGCAATTTGTCAAATACTACGCATTCCCGACAAGGAAGTGAGGTGTCGACGAGTTGGCTGAACACAATCGATGAATCCGGAGGATCGGTATCCGGAGAGTCATCACCAGGCTGGACGAGAAAAAAGCCACGGCGGCAGAGTGAAAGGGAGATGCGGCTGGAAAGAGAGAGACAGATGCGGGAGTTTGGGGATGATTTTGATGCACAAATGGATGCTGCTGTGGAGGCGGCCTACGACGATCCTTACGAAGTGGACTACACATACGATCATTCAACCTACGATCGGGATGAGGAAATGTTAATGATGAAAAGCCCGCGTTTAAATGTGGAACGTGCAAAGCAACGGGTGCGAGAGGTTGAACGGGAAATGGAATTGGAGATAGCCAGGGAGAAGGAACGGAAGTTGGAAAGAGAGCGATTGGGGTTGGTTGAGCGACGGCGTCACTCGGAACTGGATTTCTTTGACGATGGAGATGATGACGATGATGACTCAGAGGATGAGCGCATGTTGGAGGAAATGACAAGAGGGTACACCCTGGATGATTTTGAATTCAATTTGGACTCAAAAACAGCGTTACCTAGAGAATCAGGGGCCTCATATTCCGATTCGACGCTTCCTGTGCGAGAATCGGGAAGCAGTGGATATTCAGGGACGACATGGGCTAGTTCTATTGGGTCTGCGCATATGCTTAATGTTCCTACGCCATTATCTACAGTTGATGAGGCGCCTTCTACGCCACCGCCATTTCAATCACCGCCGTCTATACTACCACATCAAAGTCCTTCTCCAAAATATAGACCTCCTGCATCTGTACATACGGAACATCTTCCATTGGCTCCCGCTCCCCTTTCCTTCTCATCTATTAAAAGAGAAATAACGGAGCCAGCCCCAAGCCTCCCAATCCCTAACATTGCTTCAATCCCTAGTTTATCTGTTTCAAAGTCTTCTAGCGTTAGGTCCCGCCGGCTCTCCGCATTATCAGAACCTCTGAAAATTGAGACATCACCGTCCGGCAATGGCTCCTCAATTTATGGTGTTGTTCCCACAACTATAGTCCGCGGACCTTCTCCATCTGTACCAAATGTGGATTCTGAGCTTTCTATGGATTACTCTTTGTTACCACCCCCGCTCACTCCACCTTTAAATATCCCCCCTAAAACCGCAGGTGCAGCTATTCCCTCACGGCCGAGTACTTCTTCTGAACTGAGAGATGGACCAATACCGACACCACCAGCAACAACAGCCGGAAACTATACTGGAAGAAACCTTCACTCTCCAACTCCGTCGAGCTTGGAGCCTCCTGGTGGGATCACCTCTGGAATCATCTCCGCAGTTACTATGAATAAAACGGTTTCTGACGACGAAGGTTCAGCTTCTCCATCCAGGTTTACGGCAAGGATCCCTGGCCTCCCGGGTGCACTTAGGCAAATTCAATCATCCGCGAGCTTGAAGAGTCGTACTTTAGCATCTCCAGATCAGGAATCCTCCCCCGTAAATTCCAGCAGTGTATTGTTTTCGTCCAGTAGCACCTCAAATTTGCGGAAGGCGTTTCCCAGGAGTGCTACGCCAGCTACACCAAGCATTGTCCCAGGGACGCCAATAGGGCTTCCGCCCACTGCTGGACTCCAGGCTGGAGGAATGCATCTGTTTGAAAGCAAACTTCATTCGCCTGCTACTCCGAGCAGCGAAGATCACTTGGCGGCCGGTCAGCCCGTCCCGCTTGAACCATGTCCGGGGGAGGCTTTAAGTAAACCATATTGGCTGATGAGGTGTCTCTACCAAACTGTGGTACACCCAAGAGGCGGGTACATTTCAGCGAGAGTATTTGTGCCACGTGAAGTCTGGTTCATCAAAGGCGTCAAGATCAAGGCTATCGACGACAAGATTTCTTGCTGCGACCTTGTCAGCGCTGCATTGGGAAAACTTGCAACTGTAAACCAGGACAATGTTAACGCCATCTATGAAGAGATGCAATCCCTTGAAGGTGTCCTTGACCGTGTTCAGGCGGTTCTCTCAAAAAAGCTCGGTAACGATGTTGGGTCATCTGGTGCACGTGCCATGTATGGCACCGATGGGTCTATTCCAGAGAACGGAAATTCAGACATGATAACCAAGAGCACTGGTGTCAGTGGTGGAAAAAGCTACTTTTCGTTGAGAAAGCTGAGGACAAAAAACTCCAACACAGCTTTGAGTTCTTTTGGAAGCTCCAGCAATTTGGCGGGGGACTTCAATTATGCTGCAAAAGGGTTACCGAAGGCTGGGAACGATATTGCGACTCAGCCTGTAAGGAATTTGGATGGGGTGACATTTGGGGGACCTCATGCAGCTTATATCGGCGCTCTAGCGAAGCTTTTTGATGCTGCTCAGATATTGGGTATGTTACTTTTCTTTCAATGGGACATATAGTCCATTTATGGGACATATCAACGCGATCCTTGCTATAGGTGCATGATTTTTCTGACCGCGATGATAGACCGATTGAATGTTCTAGACGATAACAACTCTGGAAAGAAGATACCCATGACTGTTAAGGTCGGTCTGGAATTGAGTCACCGTCACGCCGCGGAATTTTTCGGTTTCTATATCTGCCGCTTCGTTCTCACCGATGTCACCTTATTGTTGGACAAATTCGTCAAGCGCGGGACCGAATGGGTTTCTGCTCCCTAGGTTAGTTAATTGTTAGGTTTTAAGGGGTTAACTTGAGGGGGGTTCTTTGTTACTGGGTGGCTATCTTTGGTATCGTATTTATGGCGTTTGTCTATTTTTATTATTCCCGTTGCGTTTCTTGAACATATTACTTGAGGTGGCGAAGGGTATGCGGGTTGGCCTGTATGATTTTTTATCTTTTTATTTTTGAATCCTTTCTTTCCGTCTTAGCTTCCTTAGCCATTGGGAAGCTGGTGTGAATATTTTACCACTTACTTTGTTTTTTTTAACTCCTCATATTTCTTTCTTCCGTTTCTTTACGTATTTCCTTCTCATTTAGAGCACCTTCTGTCATATGATGGCAAGGCGAAAGGGATGGATGTTGTGGACACTGACTGCACATAACTACTTACACAGGTAAAACAACTAGGATAGATGTGGATGGTTGTCTCTTTGTTATTATTGCGGATTGTTCAGTTCATACACGTTGGTGGGGTGTGGGTTACGGGATATTCCTTATTTTTTTTATTTTATTTCTTCATGTGAATAGGATGGGGGTATGCGTCAGGGGATATCTTTCTTTCTGCTTCATGGTTATGATGCTCCGAGGGTTTTTTCTATTCGCGCCTTTTTTTTTTTTTTTTTTTTTTGCTCTCTCCAATAGTGGCTGAGTTAGACGTACTCATATGATTGCTACAAGATGGAACAGGGTGTCGGGGATAAATAATACTACTATCGATCAGGATGTATCGAGATAATTCCTCCCCGGTTTTACCAAGTCTTACGCTGAAATTTCCGGTATTTGTACCAAGGCTGCATCAGCGGCTTGATAAACGCACAAAGTGAAATCTGCCCTCGCTGGACCGTTCAATTCACCAACGAAAGATGCGATAACCTGGGACCTGGAACACCAATGCTCCCCACTTCTTTTTCTTTTCTTTCCCCACGGGGATTTTCGTTTCTTTTCCTCGGTATGGTCTGTACATACCACATTCAGTAGTATACTCTAATACTGTGAAGATTTTGTGATAATAAGACAAGGCAAGCTCCACGAGGAGAAGGATAGCAAAAAATAAAGCAAAAAAGCAAAGAATGCATGATATAAAACACGGCCATTTCTTTTGGCAGCACCACATTGGCATTGGTTGCACATAACGCGATGGATGGACGGTGATAGGCGTGACAGGTATCTTATGCACCATTGGATTTCCGGCGAGCAGATTAGAGAGTTTGAAAGTCCGGGGCCGCAATTGCAATTGAGCTATTCATGTGGGTTTTTCGCACCCATGAGTGGACACATACACATACATCACCATCACCATCACCAACATCATCACCATCTCTCTCGCTACCTCTCCCCCGGCCCTCGGATCTTTGGTTATACACGGTAGGAAGTCAAACTAAAGAGGTAGGGAGGGAGGGAAAAGGCACTGAAATAAGCAACATTGCATATGTGAAGGAAGATGGGGAGGATAGGTACCATCTAGAGTACGAGGTTTTCCTCTTGCTCCTCCACCTTCTCGTGCCGCATACACGAAGGCTGAATCGTGTAGGTACATGATGTGGCCGGTGTCTCCACTAGGCGTGGCTGTGTAGAGTCTTCCAATTGAAGGGAGGGGGGGTGTGGATATTGGAGGATCGATCTCTCCCTTACCTGACTTTCTGCCCCCTCCCCCCCCCCCCATTTATATGCACGCACGAACCTCGGAGACACCGCACCGCTACTCATGCACGCATAAGTTCCAATCCAACCGAGTAATCACCCAACACACAGGCAGCGGCAGCCAATGAGCCCCTGGCTTGCCTTCCCCGCACTTTGCTTTGGTGTTTTTTTCCCTCCTTCTGGGAGAGAAAAAACTGGTGCTGGTGCTGGTGCTCCTGGTGGTGCTGCTGGTGGGCTGGTGGGCCCGCCTACAGTACGTAGGGACGGTCCGTTTTACTAGATGCAGGATGCAGACGAAGAGAGAGAGTTGAGCGCTGATGTAAGGGGAATAAAAGATCAAGGAAGAAGACTGTGCCAGATTGGGTCCTGTACGGAACAAGAAGACTACAGATTAAAAACGGCAGTGAACAATTCTTATCCTATTTTCACAACATCTGATCGAGAGGCACGTACATGGATTGTTTTGCAACTCCGCGCCTCGCGGGCCTCAATGGTTGTTTTGCCGATAGCGAAGGGACCAAAGGCCAGATAGCTATCAATCGGAGTAAATAATAATAGGTACAAAAAGCAATAGACACCAGAACATTGCCTTGTAGGATTTCGTTGTAGAGACCGCCAAATTTTTTGGATTCCAACACACTCCCCTGCCTAAAAACAGTTACTCACAAATAAATCAAATCCCAAACGCAAAAAAACAAGGAACAAATAACTATGAAAAACAGGAGGAAAAGGTATGATAAAATGATAAAAGATTTCCACCACTATAAAAGTTTTACCCCATCCATTCACAAACCAGAGAGGGAGAAAAGTCGTGACGGCCGTTACATAAAAGCACAATCGTGAGAACGTTCAAGGCGAAAAGACACACGGATGTAACGTGGAAACCAGACTAGCAACACACAGGTATAAGACAAAAGCATCCACAGGAGATAAAAAAATGAACAGATGGAAGCAGACTTAAGACCCCTAGAGAATATAGCTTAAGAATGATTCACAAAAAATAATGACCCAAAAGAAAATACGTCGAAGACATGTGTGGTTATTGTAAGAACAAAAAAGGATTCGCTGCGTCACTTCATATCTTTTTTTGCAAAGGAAAAGACAAAACAGAAAAGAACCCCCAAACCAAAAGCCGACCCACCGGATTATTCAATCCATCCCATCAATCCGGAAAAATCAAAAAAAAAAAAAAAAACTAAAATCGAAGACGAATAAATAGACTCTCAACTCCTGCATGCCAAATTGATATATCCTTGCTGAATTTTGGGGGGCAAGCTAAAAAAAAAACAATAGTCTATCGATAAATCACCGCCTGCCCGCTGCCCGAGTTGGCTGCACTGCCGACCGTGTGCGGTTGAGGCGTCCATCCGCGTTTCTGTCGAATGCAGAGCCTGCGCCGCCGATGACAGGTGTGGAGCCTTCACGGATCGTCTTGCGTCTCTTCAAACCCCCCTCAGAATCCCCGCCAGGTCTTTCGTCATGTCCCCGGCTAGAAGGGCGGGAACCATTCTCATCCTCATCTTCCATCCTCATACGCTTGTTGGATGAGGGGGTTGATGATCCATTCATCCCACTATAAGGTTGCTGGGGTGTCTGTGCAGGGATGGAAACACCTAGACCTTGACCCGGGTAACCACTATCAGGAGCACCAGCCCCATTTGATCCATTGTGCTGGTCAGCAGCAGCGTCACCGCTCACCAATTGATAGAGATTCCTTTGGGGCGGTGCTTGGCGTCCACCGTTAGTGGCAGCCCGAGGTGGGGTTGAGTATCCGTGCGGGTTTTGAACCCATTGCGATTGAGACGCTGTAGGGGCGGTGCGTGGAGTAGCGCCGGAACCACCATCGATTGTTCGGGGAACATTGCCGCTTGCAGTGCCATATGATCGAACCGGAGTTGACGGTGCCTGTCCACCATGGTTGGGTGATCCGTTAATCTCTGGGGAGAGATGGGGAGCATGGTCAGCGTTGAGAGGAGGGTAGTAGTTGTTTCCGGAACGATGGCCACCGGGATAGTTGTTGGCATCGTGAGTGTATTCTTCCTCATGGTCAGCTTCATGTTCGGCCTCCTCTTCACCCTGGTTTTGGTCCTCATGTTCACCCTGTTCTAATCCATTTTGTTCCTCACCGCCTTCTTCCTTGGGGTGTACCTCCTCCGCGTTGTTCTGCCTCGACGACGGCCTGGAAAGTGATGCCGGAGGTCCACGAGCTGTAGGAGGTGGTCCCATGTTGCTAGCTTCCCGGTTCTGGTTCATGTATTGAGTTGGTTGGGGCAAGGGCTGTCCAAACCTCTGCATATTCTGCTGCGCAATGGGGTTGTTCTGTGGTATCCCTGAAGCATATTGTGGTGGTGGATACGACTGTAGTTGCTGTATGGCACCGCCGGGAGGGGTTGTCGCTGGTGTGGTTGGCATAGAACGACTGTTCATAACAGTGTCAATTGCCAATGGCTGACTACCAGGTCCTCCTTGAACCATATTTCCCCCATTCCAAAATGAGCCATCGGGATTGACACCGCCCATTACACTTGATGCACTTGATGGGGGTGTGGGGAATGACAGGCTCCGCTCAATACCCGGTCGGCTGTTGATCTGGTGAGGTCCTTGAGCCAGGTTATGGGGAGCAAGGTGGTGAGGCTGCTGCATACCGCCTTGCATACCATGATGATGATGCAATGGAGGGGGGTGTGGTGAGGAGATGAGTTCCGAAGGACCCCTTCTCTGTTGCTGCATCTGGTTCTGCAGGTTGTCTTGCTTGCGACGCTCGGCAGCAGCCACCACCGCGTGGGTTCGGTGAGTGTTTGCAGGGTGGTAGAGCAGAGCACCAATGTTGTGCACAAAGAGAGGATACAATAGTTCCGTGATCTTCTCTTTGTTGGCAAAATCCAATGCACGGTCAAATGGAATCCTACAGATATGGCAAATTAGCTTGATTGAACAACATAGGTCTAATCGTAGATATAGGCAATCCACGATTAGATGCAACAGCTACTCACCATACTCCCTTAAGGTGCATTGGCCCAATTTTCACTACATGGCGAACCTTCTCGCTCTTGAGGATTCCATCACGTCTTCCTCGGGTCATTCCAGCCACGTTCAGTAACTTTGTACCATTTATCATATGGTTATCTTTTATCGGTTCGAACAATCGTTAGCGGGGAAAAACTTTAGATGAAGCGATGGTGCGCGAAGTACAAACCTTCTCGCCTCGCCACACATACACCCTTCGCCTCTACTTGGAAACATAAGCTGCCCTCGTCCTCCCACAACGTTGCAGTAACCCTGGGTTTCATTCCAGGGGGTGCGTGCTGACCGGTGGTGTCAAAGGTTTGGTTACCAAAGCCACCAGCCGCTGTAGCAGATGCAGGTGTTTGAGGACCTCCCGCAGATACAGCAGTTAGTGGTGATGGGCTGGGGGTTAGCTGGGTGTTCTGTGGCAATGGCAACAGCTGCTGTGTAGGATGTACCATTGGCCCCGAAACACCGGGTTGCCCAGCAGGAGAGGAGACTCCATTGGGGGCGGGAAATTGGAATGGTGGGAAACCATTGTGGTGGGGTTGGTTATAGTTCGGTTGAAGAACAGGAGGTTGAGGAGGGAAGTTCATGTTACTTCCAGATGTCGCAGTCTGCGGTGTAGGAGGCTGCCCCTGAGAAAGATGATGCTGATGAAAGTCAACACCGATATATGGTGGCTGGCTTTGCGACTGCATGTATCCCGAGTTATCGTTTCCGTACGGCGAGAACTGGGGGCCGTGAGAAGGGTACGATTGGGGGTGTTGTTGTTGTGGGGAAGGGATATTGGGGTTCGGAAGAGCGTGTTGCTGAGGTGGCCCGTTGTTCCCGGGAGGTGTGTTCAACTTGCTTAATGAAGAAGCGTTGGCGGAATTGGGACCGGTGTGGGAGCCGTTAAGAATAGATGTTCCCAAGGAGCGAGGTGAGTTATTTGACAAGTTTGTTACAGACTGCGGAATAGATAGGGCTGATGGAGGCTTATCGTTGGACATACTCGACTTGTAGTGAGGATGATTGTTGAACCCGCCGCTGTTCCAAGCGAAGACGTCGAGAGGGGGAACTCTAGTCTGGACCGAGGAGAGGGAAGGTAGCTCCAGCTTGTTGGTTGGACCGGTGATTGCCTTTTGATGGCGGATTTAGGGAATTCCGAGGAATATAAAACAGTAAAGACGAGGGCTCTGTGCTTATTTCAGCCAACAGATTCGATGTCTTTATTAACCGTTAAATAACGGTGTGGCTTCCACCAGAAAATTGGAGTAGCGGCTAACCCTTCCAGTGGATGCAGCAGAAGGTAATGGGATTCGTCCTGTAGCCGCGACGATGAGAAACTGTTGCTTGGATGCAGGTGGGAATGCTCAACCAACCACAGAGATGCAGTACAAGTCGCTCGGTAAAGTGCAGATGGATGCAGAAACGAATCAATGGACGAGGCAAAAAAATACCAGCCAAGAAAAAATGTCAAAAAGACAGAGAGAACAACTTTTTTGATACTGAAGAACACGAATGCGATCAAGCCAATGCCTGTGTCCGGGGAATGAAGAAAGCTGAAATAGCTGTATTATACAGTGCCGTATACTACAGTTCTGGGATAGGAATGCCAGAGGAAGCGTTTTGTCTCGTTGATGAGTTGGAATGCAATGCTTTGGACGGAAGAATATTCGTGGGAAAGATAACTTTTGGGGGGGACTTTTTGGCGTTTGCTTCGTTTCAAATTCGTAAATGCTGAATGACTAATTTGGGGGGGGGGGGGGGGGGCGTGATTATTTTTACGTGTGTGATTTTTGTTTTGATTATTGAATGTCGTTGCAATTGCAGAATAGCGCCTCCTCGTAATTTTCGTTCGTTCGTATTTCTCGTTGGTCGTAAGAGATGCACTGAGCCTTATCCTTCTTTGCTCCAGCAGCAGTTTTTTTCAACTGTGACTAGGAGTGTCTTGGATCGGGGGGAGAGGCTTAAAATGAAATGTCGTGAAGCTCCAGTTGCGCCTTGCTGCAAGATCGGCCGGTCGTTAATGATGCAAAGGAAACGCAGGGCGTGTATGGTAGGCGCGAGGAGGAGAAGGGAAGAGGAATAAGGGAAGGGAGGGAAGGAATTGCGCGACGAACCGAGCAGGAGAGGTTGAGCGAGGGGAGGGGGTGGAAGAGGATGTAGGGTAGGGTAGGGGGTGGGTGTGTGGAGGAGGAGAGAATGATGGGGGGGGAAGTGGTTCTTCGAGGAGAGGCTGGGGAAAGCTCGAGAGAGTGAATGAAGAGAGTCGAGAAGAGGAAGAGCAAATGTAGAATTTACGATGCGGGTCGGGGCGACTTGCAGGGAAGTAGCGCAAGCAGCAAGCAATGATGGTCCGTCCAAGTGGAGGTCCTTTTTTCTTTTTTTTTTGCTTGCCCTCACGCAGCACAGTTGATGGGATGGAGGTGGTGCGAAGAGGAAAAGGAGGAGGCAGGTATGTATGTACGTACACTGGCTTTCTGTCTTCTTTTTTTCTACAATGATTTCTCTTTCACTGCCTCCGTCGTCTCGTCTGGTATAGAGAGGCTGGATTGGAGGCTGGGCGGGTCGAACAGGGGTTACGGCGAGAGGTGTCAAACCGTTCAGACTCTGGCGAGGGACTTTCGACTTGGACTTGCCGGGGGAAGAGAAAGGGAACGGATATGGGTGTGTGAGGGGGGTTGGGACGGCGCAATCGAGTGAGTGAAGAGAGCTTTCGCCGTCAACGGGACAGTTAATCCAACTTGCTCACTCAGTGCTCTCCCATTGGTCAATCCAAGGAACTAAAGTGGGTACTTACCAGTTTGATGGAATTCCTGGTTGCTTTCTCAATCACTCTCTATCTCGTTTTTTTTGGGCAGAGACCTCTAAGTATGTAGCCTTTTCGTAACTACTTTCTCTCGTTATTCTCCTTCTTACCTCGATCTCTTGCTTTTCACCTCCTTTCTTTCTTTCCCGTCTCTCCTTGGCCAAGGAAGGGGCAAGCAATTAACACACAAATGATAATCGTAATAATAATAATGAACCCCTTCGGAAGAAGGAAAAAGGAAAGAAGGGAAAAAATAAGGGCAATCAATTCAGCGAGAATGTCGGTGGTTCCTTTCCCAGGCCAGCACAGCGCAGCGCCAGTCCCAGATACCCCTCCTCGTGAGTGGTCCTGCGGAGAGCGAGGGCCACCCTCCAGTCTGAACGAACCAGGCGGAGGAAAGGGTTGTTGACTGGGAGGCTGCTGGGGTCTCCTTCTATTGGCTGGCTCGGCACCCGCAACAAAAAAGGGTGCAGGGGTTCGAGTAAGAATTGGCGCAGAAGGGGACTGCAGGCGCGACAGCTACAACGCATCTGGTTAGCCTGACGGATCTTGGATTGATGCAGGGTTAGGGTATAAAGTTGGTAGCGTGACGAATTTGGTTAGAGCCTTAGACCGGTGGAGTGTGCGTTGGCAAGGAGGAACCGTGTATAAAAATGGAAGCACTGTCACTCCGCTCATTGGCGGTGGCTTTTTTTTTTTTTTTGGAAAGGATCATAGTTGAGAGCGTGGGGAGAGGAAGGAGCCACGGCCCAAGGAAAACTTATGAACGTGGGGAAAATAAAGGTTCCATTGCCAACATAGAGTAGGAGTTTTGAAAGATCAAGATAGCAGGCGTAACTATTACTTACTCTTACCAGTATTAGATCTAGAATAAGCTAGAATGAGCAGCAGCAGCAGGAGATGGCCGGTAAGGAACAAATGCGCCGGGAAAAATGAAATAAAGAATCAAAGTCTAGAAATATGAAATGGTTGGTCTCTTCTGTAGCTCTACTTCCTGTATTGGTATTTCACCAAATCAAAGACACGACGACACGCGACAGACGGAAGGGATAAGTCTGATTTTAGTTCAGAGGTCTATCGCGTGGTTCTTGCCGATTCGCAGTCTGTGTGGGTCTTTGGCGCACCCCTGGCTACTGCGATGTGAATTGACGTGACCAGAAAATCGATCTGTCCTACAAGCGAATTGCTTGCTTGAGCGTGAGACACGAGACTTACGACTGGAGTGATCGGATAATAATGGAGGCGCCAATGATTGGGTATACCGGATAGGATTTGGTCGGCGGATAACGACAGAGCCAACGGCAGATGATGCAAGATTAAGATAGATATCGAGGGCGGTCACGGTTGGTAAGCGTTCCGGACTATGCTGCCCTTCCGGTAATGTTGCTTCCTATTGATGCTACCTGACTTGATGATGATGATGGTGGTGGTGGAGGTGAAGAGCTGGCTGGCATGTAAATCAGTAAGAGGTATTTCTTTTTGGTAGAAGCAGAAGCCATTCATTGCTGAGAGAGAGCTGTTCTAGAGTATGGAATTGCCATCTAGCGCGATGGATGTACCAGTATCGAAGTCTCCCATCTCTGAGTCTGCAAGCAACATCATGCTCTCCATCCAGCCTGAGTATGATGGAATAAGAAGGGATCACACACACTCACTTACGGAAAAAGTAAATCGGGGACGCGCCGGCAAAAAGCAAGGAGCTTGGGTAAGAATGATGTTGGCGGTGTCAGAGAGCCACTGTGCTCCTCTCGCTACTGCCGGTGGAGCTTGTGTTGCGTATGTGATAGGCACAACTACAACCGCAAATGGGAGAGGTAGAGAGACAGCTAGGATGGAGCTGTTGCGAGAAAGAGCTCAGCACCTTACAAGCTACTCTAAGCAGATATGTAGTCTGTGATGATTCTACGCAGTGACTAGTGAGTGATATGTAGGAGGAACAAAAGGATGACGGGCAGAAGAATGCTACGATCTCTCAATGCTGCTTCCTGTGCAACTCGTCGCTTTCTTGTTACATCTACGGATAGAGACTGGTAGGCATATTTAACCCTCTATGTACTCTTTGAGGATCGTCAAAAATTCAAAAATAAAACTGCCTCTCTTCTTGTTCTCCTTCCCGGTGGAGATTTCTCTTCATCTTCTTTGATTGCCATTCCCCCCGGAAAACTAGAGCTAAGAGCTAAGAGCTCGAGCTGAAGAAGAAAAAAGAAGAAAAAAACCTCATCACACTAGAGAGACTGTCCACTAAGAAAGTCATACCTTCTCGTGCTCTTGTTCTTGATGTAACAATCAAAGAAGAGAGACGAAACACGATCCACGCGGGACTCCAACAAACGCACGCGGATGTACTATTTTATGCCAAACGGACGCATACTCGCGTAGCTCTCCCGGATCCTCAACCCACATCTACATATGTCCTCCTCCTCCTCCTCCTCCATTTAGTCAATCGGAAACTTGAACAAAGGCCTTGCTTCCGCTCCCCGTCACGTTACACTCGTCCTGCCGATGTGCCTTGCCTGACTAGGTACGGAACGGATTATCACATCCTCCTTGGTTATTTCCCGTCCGTTCTACTCTGTCGGCGGCCTTACGCAGTGTGTGTGTTCTTCTATCTCCACCCTTTATTCCGTTCCCGAGGACGACTGCAAGAGAAGCATGTAAGCCCTTCTCCGTACCTTCTTTTATTGTCTCTCGTCAAAGCACTCTGCAACATGTACTGCAACCTTGTTTACTCTGTAAGCCGAAAATCTCCGGCGGCCGATTTTGCATTTAGTTCCCGCCACTAAGCACAGATTCACTGCAGGACGACATATTATTGGAATGTGTGAGTTATGTTACATGTAAGAGTAGGTGTGTATGTATGTGCCAGTCACACGTGACAGTGACAGTGACTGATGGGGGCGAGTGATGTATCATGATTGCAACCGGTAACCTTCGAGAAAACGGGCCAGTATCACTTGCAGTTGTATTTCAAAAAGACGACTACTAATATCCTTCCGTTTTTGAAGGCGGGTTATCCCCAACACTGCAGATAGATTCCACCACATTTATTATTACTGACCCATTGCTATTTCTCTGCCGCCCCCGCGGACAACGGCGGCGAGCTGCGAGAATTGCACTCCCTATGATACTCTTCTACATTTGGGATTGCAGCGGACGTTGTTGCGAGGAACATCACACACACACACTATGTAACACACATCTATGGCATAGATTCACACGTCCAGTACGACTTATTAAGAGTAGATCCTTATTGGCGATTAGCGTAACGCTCTAAGCTGGGGTATTCTATCCGTTCCCGATGCTAGATGCGCTTGGACTCCTGAAATCTTTTTTCCGGCTCGTTTCAACTTTTTGTATCTTTTCCATAATATAATCTGTTTTTGTCTCCCATTCCACTTCCCCGCGTTGAGCCGCTTCTGGTCTAAAATGGTGCTTTCTCTATCACTATTTCTCTCTCGGCGCGGCTCAGAGAAAAAAGAAGAAAAAAAACGCGTGACAGAAGACATGCAACCTCCCGCTGTGTTCCACAATCCTTGGAGCTAGACAAGGAAAATCCATCAATTGATGTGACTTGGTAGCCTTGCAATCAATTCTTTTTTCCTTGAACGGTTTTGATTTATTTATAAAATTTTACTTTTTTTACTCTCATGATGTGTGTGTAGAGTGCTCTGGATATCATGTACCGGTACTCTATATGTATGTACATATGTACATATTGCAAGGTTGGATCCCTTTTCGATGCTGTATCTACATGCTAATAGTGTGTAACGGCCATCACTGTACCCTTAGCGGTGTGCCCGGAAGAACACTCGTCTGGCGCACAATTAATCCGTTTGCACAACATCAACCACAACCCATGGAGGGAAACCCAGACAACCGCAACCACAACCATCAAGAACGCTTTCTCTCTCCCCACACATACCCGATCTCACGCTTTCCACTTAGCCAAAAAATCGCTGCCCAAGAAAGTGTATCCTGCGGAATCTATTGGTGTCGACTGGATACACGTATTATGCACGGTCCCTGCAGGCAGCGGGGCTGCAGTTTGCATCACGCAAGCCCGCTGTGTGTAAAAGCCACTTGCATATGTGTATGCATGCATTCACGCTGATCTCGACGTCTGGGCTACCTAAGGAGCTGCAAGGTTGCGGGAAGCCACTGGAGTTCCGGTGGGTGCGACCCTACCTTCGACGGGACCGGGGTAACACCACCATCATTGGAATTTTTATATTTTTTACAGTAGCAAAAAATTAATTATTTAATTTTTTTTAGTGATACCAGTTACCAGTGTAAGTAACTCCAAGGGCCAGGTCATATATGTGCAGCGTGTAACGACAGACGAGAATAATAGCCCTGACCCTTGCATCGGTATGGTGGAGGGGTAGGGAGTGTATTTTCGTACTGAGATTCGAATGCACGATCATCATATCATAGCCTGGAAGGACTAGGAACGAATATGTACAAGTATGAAACATACCAATTTTGCCATTCCTTGGATCCGAGGCAATAACCGATAACTTTGATAAGAACGGTACGGAGAGGGAACCGCCGTCGTTAAACGGTGTGTACCACCACCAATAACACTACGTGACTTACGCTAGAGTACTACTACAAAGGGATATAGATTTGATAATTGAGTAACCGGGAGAATGCTCGTGACGAGATAACCATGATGGGGGTGTGATATTGAATTGAAGTGACTGACGACGTTAGTAGAGGAGCCTGTCCTGCCTGCTTTCGACGATTCTTTTCTCTCGGCTGTAACACGAACGGCGATAAGCTGCCTAAGTCGATTAGTACGCACGGCTCGATCGTGACGGAGAGCCCGCGGTGGTCTACTGGGGAAGTGAAGTAAAAGCTAGAAAAATAAAAAAAGAAGGGAGAGAAAGCGGTAGAGAAAGAATTGGCATGGAAAACTTCCCCAGGCTTTCTTCCCCAATATTCAGACAGAAGCACCATCCATCTAACATCGCCGCTCGCTGACCGAAAATCCCAATCCTTGTGTTTTGTGTGGTCCAAGGGAAATCAGATCGAGATAGCCAAAATTGTACAGCTGGTAATTGGGGGCCACCAAACCATGAGAGAGGTAAAAAAAAAAAAAAGAGAGAGAGCACACACTTCCCTATCTCGCTTAGAACCCCATGATATATTGCCCCATTTGGAGCATTCGTTGACAAAACCACAAAGTCTGCCAGCGCATCGATTTTTATGGCCTGCCCACCCTCTCAACAAAAAAATGACGAGGATCAACTGCCATACGGTGATCTGAGAGGGTTTATCGGCCAATCAGTGGCAAAAGGTCAAGATCCTGAAACAAGCCCTGCTCTCCACCCCAGGCTTCCGTTCCGCTGGTGGTAAGTCGTCCATCTATCTGGGTTTGGCCGAGCTCCCGGCAGAATATGAATTACGGTAATGCTCTCACCGCACCGCCCATTGGCTCTCCGCGAAGCCCTCGTTTGCTGAAGCGAACAATGTGGTGTCTTTGCCACGCGAAAATCCGCAGTGGTGGCCATCAAGAAATCTTGCTGTAGAAGGCGAGTGAAAATCGATGAGGTGACTTCTTAAACGGTCTCGCCCAAACCACACACCCCTGCTGTCCTGAACGCCATCGAAGAGAAATTGGATCTTCTCCATGTCGGCCGGATCTAGAAGTACAAGTCTAGGCCTTCTTACCGAAAACCCGAATTCAATTGCTATCATCTCTCGTCCTGGTCATGTTCTCAGTAGTAACGATGTGCCGTTCCTGTTTTTCTTTCTGTTTTTTGTTTTTTGATCTAGGATCTCTGGAGACCAGTTTATTCTGTACTGTATTTCATAAATAATTCCATTCAATATATTCCCCCTTGCAGAAGCTCAGGTGCATCAAACAGTTAAACAGTACATCATACCGTACCTAGACGGGAACCTGCGCTATGTGTCATTTCCCTCCCCCAGATGTAGCCTTTTTTCATAACGACGAATTGAACGTGTCCTGTCCTATCCAGAGCGCGCGTGTACCGAAGGGCAGATGATCAGATCCCGCCCACCTTTCTTCTTCTTCCACTTCTTCCTTCTTCCTCTTCTTTTCTTTCCTCGCTCGCAACCAAACCCAATAACGTCGTCCTATTTCCTTCCCAATCTAATGCGCTAAAAACGTCTCTTGCCTCTTCCAAAATGCCATTCCTGGCTACCTAGTCCTCTACAAACTACTCCATGGAGTTCTCCGCCCTCCCCCCTACCCCCCCCCCAAACAAATTAGAGTAGAGTAAGATAACAGCTGGTCCCGGGCCAGTGGGGGGAGAGGGAGGAGCGGAGGGTGGAAGAGGAAGGGGGGTGAAAAAACAGGTTTCACATTATTTTTTTGTCTGGTATCTGGTTCTGGTATATCTGGTTTGGATGGGATGGGCCAACCCAACGGCTGCGGGGCCAATCATACACCGCCACGAAGGTTGGCGATGGCCCCCACAAGAGACCAGAGAGAGGTTCGCATAAATGCCCGGTGATAATTATAATTAATATCGGTAACTAACCAATTTTTTTGATTGTTTTTTCCCCCCCCCTTCTTGCTGTCACGTTTGTGGTAGGTTGAGTACCGAGAGGTACTCACTCGAAGGTGAGGCGGACCGGCCGATCTGGGCCGAAGGAGAAGGACAGCCGAAACGTAACGTGGGAGGTGCACTGCAGTTCGGGTTTCGTAATCATTGACTAGTCTATTGACTAGTTAGTCTTGCAATTGCAATTGTTTATGCCGGATGGGTATAACCGTCACGTCCTCATCGGTGTGGATTTCATGAACCTCGACCTCATGATATATCGATATCTCTCTTAGTCACGGTATCTAGATCTCTCTTAGTCTTACAATCTCTCTCTTTCTCTCTCTCTTGGGTATATACAAATATATCACGTCTGGCATCGTGATCCTAGCATCGTAGACTCCACTTATAACCGGGCACCACTAGAATAGACGATCGGCTGGTATTGTTGTACAATTAGAAGTTAGAACCAGCCTAGCCTCAAGGCAACACTCAAACCAATTCAGCCCCAGCCGGCAAACTGCTTGCTTACTACGAAGGGGAGTGAGGGGTGTTACGGTGGTCATATGAGGGCATTTCAACTCTCAGTGTGACGTTGCCGCCGCCGTTGTCAAGATAAGCATACAACAAAAGGGTTGTGTGTGTCTGTTCTCGACTCTCTCGCACCCCCCCCCCCCCTTTTTTTTCTTTTTAATTCATATCCTATAGATCCTATCCATAGTTCCATCTCAGACAGTATCGTATCTCAAAAAAACTTGTTTGAAGGCGCCCCCCCTCCTCCTTTATGAAACATTTGGAGCCGCCGTAGCGGCCGGCGGTTCACATCGGGGGTGGGGGGAGAGCTGGAGCCCAATTGATGATTTATTTGGCTGATTATTAAAAGGAGCCGTAAATTATTAATGATCTGATCCAGCAATTAAGCCAAAGCCCAAAGCAAAAGCACGGAAGATCATAATAATATGTGTGGCATGATGACCAGGAGTACAAGCATAGCATTGTTGTTTTTCTGCTCTCCCACATACTCTATCTTACCCCAGGTTATTCTAAATATGGCTGAGGCGCAACGGTGCGGCGCTAGATTATCATGGGTAGTAAGGTTAGGTAGGTCTAAGGTAGTGGTTAAACTGTCCCTCGTTTCAAGTTACCCTCTAGTCAATCATTACCCTTCATCTCGGGACAAGATAGCGAGGTCGTATGAATAAGCCGTCCCTCATGTTTTTTTTTTCTCTCTCGCCCCAGCCAGAAGAGGTAAAGATATACGGGATAGAGAGACTTTTTACTCTTACCTCTTGGTCCTTTTGATACGAGTCCTTTAAAAGTGTATCAACAAGCGCGCCAATTGCCGGAGTAGTCACCAAATGCAGCAGAAAGCTTGCTGCTAGCTAAGAGGAGGGTGGAAGGGTGAGTGGAGGGTGACTGGTGAGATATATTTCTGACGAACACCTTCATTGATATGGCGATGGTAGTAAGTAAAGTAAGCAAAGCAAGGGGTGATGGGGAGTGGTGGTGCGTGACTGATCTGCTGCTTCTCTGTTTTGCTTTGTTTTGCACTGGTCTTCGAGGATCGTGGTGTTTGATATGATGATGATGGGCAAATATTATGCACCCCAAGGTTTTTTTTTTTAATAGGTCTCCCGCCGACAGTACTTCTGGCTCACTCACGCACGGTTATTGTGAAACTACCGAGAGCTCCAATTGACCACTCTTGCTCTGCCTATTACTCTGGAGTCTAAGATACCTCTGAGTACCTAGCTAGCCCCAGCGTGTCGGATGGGGACGGATGAAATCTGAAATCGCGGTGGCTCGTTGTTGTTGTGTGAGTCTGTCTAGGTTGATCGATACTGGCCATGGGCCCATAGCATAGTGGTTACCCTCATTGTTTCTCTCTCCCCCCCCCCCTTTTGCAAATATCCCGCATGCCGTGAAATGATACCAGAGAGTGACTCCGCTAGGTAGAGAGAAAAAAATGTAACGATAATCTACAGGCATTTTCTTTTCTCTGCTGTCACGATAGACCGTCTTTCGTGATGCAGAATAACCTTACCCGTAAGCCTAGTGTATGTATGTAGGTAGGGTAGAGTATGGTGAAGCAAGGCCTGTCTTTTTAGAATTCCCAGTTCGCTGGGATCTCATAAGAAAAATAAAATCAGAGTCAAAAGGGCTGCATTGTTCGGCAAGGCATGCAAACAATCGCAGCGCTTGCATAGAGCCCTTGTCCATGTCTCACTTGCTCTCACACACCACCACACACCCTGTACCCATGCTGCTGATTGGGCCGCTGCACCGTTGTAGAGTAGACGAAGTCGAGAGACCTGGTAAAAGGAATCAAGAGAAGTACCTACCTCCACCTAAAAGTCTTTCACCTCACATCACCAGATACAGGAGGGGGCAAGAAAAAAAATAAAAATTGGGGTGGAAACTGCACAAAGTGCGGATGTCAAACATCCCCCTCCCCCCGGCCCGGCCCCCTTGAGATCTAGAGGTTCGTAGCTTGGTGATTCGATAGCAGGTCCTTCCCCAGCAGCAGGAGCAGCAGCTTCAGCCTGCTATCCAGGTCTATGTACTCTAGTTACTAGTTACTCCAATCCGGCCTGCATTGGGGGGCGGAAGGAGCAGTGGAGGGGGGCAGGTCAGCCCTACGGACCAGACCTCGCTCGCTGGTGCTCCATGCAACGCAGGAAATCTAGCATCGCAGCGAGGCAAACCATAAACTGCAAGTTTTCTTTTAGCTCTGTCGTCTCGTCTCTACATACATGCGTAAGTTTCACCGTCTGCTCGGTGGGTTGGTGGTGGTTGTTGTGGTAGGAAGAAAGAGCACACACACTGGTGCTGTGCATGGTGTTTGATTAAGAGAGAGATAGATCTATGTATCTGCTCTAGCTATGTAAGCTAGAGTTGTTTCCCCAGAAAAACTGAGCACATACAGTAGACTTGTAGTGTAGCTGTAGCCGTAGCTGTAGCTGTAGAAGGTACATAGAGCACACCTTGTAGACAGCGTAGCCTATTCTGCACACCCCATACGTATGCATTTCAACTCTCTCAACTCTACCAAACTAGGAAATGCTGTACATACTCTTTCACCATCACTATCATTCTCTCTATCTGCTTTACTCCCTCGTAATTTTTACCCCTCCATCACACCCAGTAATTCTCCCAACCAGTCGGAAGCTCACCGTTCCCTTCCTCTCTTCTTCCTCTCACTGATCCGAAACACCACACTGACTCGGATCGCTCGCTCGCTGGCTAGCTCCTGGTTAAAAAGGGCATATTCTTACCGAAATTCCTGACGTGTATGATACGGCGCACGTGATTGTGACGACAAGAGGCTTTTTTTCCTCCTTCCCCTTCCCTTGCCCGGGGGCATACCTACGTAACTCGGTCCTCTTTTGAGTGAGTGAGCATGAGGTGTCGAGGTGGTGGATGGAATGGACGGATGCACATCGAGTGATATCGTGTGATCGATCGCAAAAAAAAAAAAAAGTACCCCCATGGGCAATATCTCATCTCGGAACAACGTAACTCCTGGAGAAGCATGGGGAGCCGTAGTTGTCCGACTCGCTGTCTGCCTAGCTGGCTGGCTGGACAGAAGGGAAGGGGGTGAAAGGGCCGATCTGAGGTTAATTCTTTTCAGTCATGATCAGTCACGCAGATTCGACGAGACGTGCAGCAGCTAACTATCAGGACTGCACCCGGGGCTAGATGCGCTGCAGCTAGCAGTAGCTATTTAATTCTACTATATTCCCGTCCTATGATAAGTGCTGGTTTCAGGATTGTGACAATCATGGATCGTTAGGAATTCGAATTTAAACTAGCAGCTGGTGTCAATGATGGTTACTAGATCATAGATAATAACTCTATATTGGTGTTTTGGCCGGTTTTGGTTTTTGGTCCTTTCGGTGAATGAAGAATTGATCCGTCCCCCTGGCCCCCCGGAGGGAAGGAGGGTTTAGCCTCTATGCCACTACCACTCATGAGGTGTTCTTTCTTCTTCTTGCTTCTGTATGTCTTGTCTGTCTGCCTTTTCCCCAGACCGACGGCTGGCTGGCTGGCTGGCTGGCTGGCGGGGGGCGTTATACGATGTGCTATGCTATGCTAATGCTATGCTTATGCAGCGCCCTCGAAACCACATACGTAGATCTGATACATACACCATGTGCAAAAACTTAGATTACATACATAGAGTACACGAATTACCCTGAGCCTGAGTGAACGTTCGTACTCTACCCGTCGGCGGCCATCCCATAATATCACTCGTCCTTCGAATCCTAGCTAGGGTAAGTAATAGCCGCGCATCTACAGATATACGTGCTAGATATCCGTTCCCGCGCGGCGCACGTTGACGGCAAAAAAAATATACCTACGACAAGCGCATAATCATAATTGATGAATTTTCGATTTTCAGGAGCTAGCTATTGATTGATTGATTGATTGATAATTCATTAATTGTGTGCAGCCCGGAGGCTATGACATCAGGAGCTAGCTAGGCTAACTAGGCTACGTAGAAGGGGGTTTGTATTTGTCACGGAGAGACGGAACGGAATGTATCATGATCATGGGGCTTGACCGGCCGGAGATTGTGAAGGAGTTGAAACCTCCGATGTTCTTTTTTTTTTTTTTTGTCATTTTGATATTAACACGTATGATATCTAGGAGAGAGACGGAGAGAGATGGAGATGATGGATCAGAGTGGCTTGGTATGGTTTGAGATTTGAAGAGGAGGAGGCTAGCGGTTTAGTGTAGTAGTAAGCTGGTGCTGGGATGGACCTAGATAATTTGGGGGGGCGCCGGACGGAAAGTTACTAAGTTCTGGAGGTTTCGATTCTTTCTTCAGACACGGCGGGTACGGTACGTCGGTCATGGAGAAGATAGCATAGAATTAGAATGGCCAGGCCAGGCCAGGCCTTGTGGGCTAATTAACCAGCTAGGTAAGTGTGACGGTTTCTCGTGATTGAAGGGCTGTCAAATGTAAGACAGTGAAGGTGAAAGTGGAGGTTAGTTGATTGATTGGATCAGAGGTGAAGAGCTTGATAGATGAAGTAGTATTGGGGAACCGCTGGGCTAGCTAGAGTGAGTACCTACATGTAGTAGAAAGAGAGGGGTTTGGCTACATCGAGCTAGTGTAGAGCCGACGTGCGTAACTAATTTTCCAGTCCGGGAGCCAGAAACGGTCAGGTAATAATGTTACGACGTTTGTAACGTAGGGTTGTTACCAATCCCCACACCTTAATCTTGCTGTCTTTCCCTATCAAACAGGAAGCTGGCTACGGCTACATAGCTAGGTAGGCGGTGTATAATTGCCTTTCTGCCCGTGAGATAGGGAGAGAGAAGGTAAAATGAGCTATGAGCAATATTATATTATCGTGGATAACTATCGGAGTAACCCTCCGGTCCGTACGTACGCCGTGGGCGAAGAAAAAAAAAAAAAAAAAAAGGGAAAAGGAAATTATATTAGATTGCTGATCACAATCGTAACTGTCACTGTCACCTTTTTTTTTTGTGGCTGGCTAGTTAGACTATTACATAGTTGGCCGTCCAGAGCCAATCAGTATCTTGCCTGTCATCACACACATTTCACACTTTCACACTACTTTCACACACACAGAAAGGCTGGCTCGGCTCTTGGGATATGCTTTCTGCGTTACAGGGCCAAAAGCAGGTCCGTGTTAACTTTCTGTGCTCGGAGTAAATGATTGTGCTACCGGCCGGCGGGGTGGGTGGATGGGAGGAGTACTAGGAGGAGGAGGAGGGGTTACACGTTTCATTTTGTTTCATTTTGTTTTTTCTTTTGTGTTTATGTTTAGGTTACTTACATACTCTCTCTCTTTCTCTCTCTCTTGTACTGACCTAGTTCGTTAACTGAGTAGATGGGCAGACCCCCAGGCGTGGAAGGTACTTCCCTGTGATGTTTAGATGGAGAGCTCATACTGACCTTCCCCTCCTGGTCCTGGCTGAAGATCTGCCGTAGGGTATCGTAGAGGTAGGTACTTAGGGCCTGATCGGCATCTGACACCAGTCCCCGAGGGAACCAGAGAGAAACCAGAGGGAGGAAAAAAAAGAGATCAGATGTTATGAAGCTAGGGAAGGGTCCTGTAATAACAACAATAGCGCCCCCCCGCCCCCCTCCCCTCCTGTTCTCCGATCAAATGGTGTTACGACCACAACCACCGCCGGCACTACATTACCATACCATACCATACCCCTCCCCTCCCCTCGTCCTCGCCGGGAGGTGCCGTCGGTATGTGCCCGGCAGGCAGGCAGGCAGGCGTAATTACAGAGATACGATGCTCAATCTACTTCTGTGGCGCCAGGAGGGAGGGAGGGATGGATGGATGGATGGGTGGATGTGAGTGGGAGGGTGTCGGGGGGGGAATGGATGGGAGAATGCTAACTATCCTTGAAATTGGCCCCAATCGACCTGGACATGTGAAGCTTAGAAATATGACATACCGAGCCCATTAAGATGTAGCTGCTAATTAATTAATGGGCAGAGACATGAGGGCGAGTTCGAGACAGAGACAGACACTAGAAACAAGAATCGTGATGTCAGTTGCAGTCATGGTCAGTACATAAGTCAGTGCACAACACAAACCTAACCCTGGGTATGCACAGATGCAGCCCTACATATGGGCTCAATCAGACACATACATACATACATACATACGCTCTCACTCAGTATGTATTGTTTGCATGAGGGCAGGCAAGCAGGCAAGCAAGCAGGCAAGCAAGCAGCAAGCAAGCAAGCAAGCATGGGCATTGCATATCGCCGCCCACTGACTGCACTGCACACACAACCTGCATGTTACCCTCCCTGCCCTGCCTGCTCTCCGCGCCCGCTGCCGTGCACGTGCGCACGGGCGTTGGATCGTGACTCGAATGGCGTACGTACGTGAATCCGTTCCGGCGCGCGTAGAGTAGAAAGCACATACATTCCTTGAAACACGATATTCACATTCACATTCACATTCACGTTCTTTGCGAATTCACAAAGTGACCGAGTCCCGTCCGTCCAGTCAGTCCAGTGAAGTACAAACCCCCCAAACAAACAAAAAACCCAATAACTATCTATATATGGCACCAACAAAGAAGTCCCGGGCTACGTCCACACTGCCAGCGCCGAGGAAAATGGACGTCTACAACTCGACGTCCACGGGCCACCAGGTTGGCGACGGCGTGTCGAAGCCCGCCGCGTACCAGCGGCACCGGGCGGCGAGGCTGCAGGCGCAGTTTGGCGGCGCCGGCGCCGGCGGGGGCGGGGGCGGGGGCAGCGGCGGGCAGGCGACGCTGTTGAGGTATTTGGCGAGCGCGAAGGCTGCGGGCGGGAAGCAGAAGGTGCTGGGGAAGAAGGTGGTGGCCGATGGGAAGGGGCCTGGGCTTGTGGTGTTGGAGACGGTGGTGAATAGTAGAGATACTGCCATCACTGCTAGAAGAGATATTACTACAACAACTATTAGTAGGAAAGATACTACATGGGCTACTGTTAGTAGGGATACCGCTACTGCTAAGGATATTACTACTGCTACTACCAGTAGTAAAGATACTACAACTACTGCTATTAGTAGAGATACTGCTACTATTGGAGATGCTACGATATGCAGCCCTACCACCGCTACTGGATCTCTAAAAACTCCCAAAAAGGAAGCAAAAGCACCAGCACCAGCTACCAGCTCCACTACTGCCAGAGGTGCTACTAGAGATACCGCTACTACTGCCCGAAGCTCCACCACAACCGCCCGGTCCCCCAAAGCCAAAATCCCCAAGGCAGAAGAGGGGGCAGTAATAGATATCATCACCACTGCCACTACCAGCACAACAATAGCCCCTACCACTACTAAAGCTTCTCCCACCCCCCCTCAACAGCCAAAACAGCTCTTCCACCCCCTCACGATCCACATCTCCGGCGCCACAACACCGCACATCTCCGACCACGCCTTGAAGCGCCTCCTCGCGCGCCACGGCGCCCGCATCGCACCGTCCATCTCACAGCGCTCCACCACGCACGTCATTATCGGCGGCGGCACCGGCGCCGGTGGCGTGCTCGCCGCCGGGAAGCTGCAGAAGGAGCTGCTGAGGAGGAGGAAGAATGTCAGGTTTGTTGGGGTGGCTTGGTGAGTTTGACTATCCTTTGTGGTTTTTTGAGGGGAGGAAGAAGGGGGGGGGGGGGGGGGCTAATGGGTGTGTGGTGGGGCGATAGGGCGCTGGATAGTGTCAAGGCGGGGAGGAGACTGCCGGAGGGACGGTATGCGGTGGGGGTGAAGGCGGGGGGGCAGAAGAGTGTTGGGGAGGTGTTTGGGGTGAAGGCTAAGGGGGCGGAGGGCTCTGGGAAGAAGGAGTTGGAGGGTAAAGAGGCGGAGGGCTCTTCTGAGAAGGAGGGGTTGCGGCCTTGATGGGTATAGTAGAGTTGGTGGTTGTGGTTAATCGTTTTTGTTTTTGTGGTTTTCGTTGTTTTTGATAGAGCATAGACGGCGTCGTTTCTTGTTAGTATTTTTGTTTGATAGACGAAATTGTAGAATTGTATTAGTAGTACGCACTGAAGGTTTAGTTATTCAGATCTCATAAACCTCAAAAAGAGCGGGTAGGAATAGGAGCATACTAGAACTGATCAGATAGTACCTTTCATCTATCCTATCTAAAATCATCGGGAAACTAAACTATAAGAAAAAAAAACCAAAAGCAGCACACAAAAACACACAAAAAACAAAAGCTTTTCCATACCGCCCCCTTCACCCCAAACACAAAGAAAGAAAGAAGAGTAAAATACCCACATCCCATGATAGTAACAGAAGTAAATAGCAGAGTAGTCAGTTATAGCAGCCAGTCAATGAGAACCAGTACACAATCACATATGCCCCCCCCCCCCCCCCCCCCCCAAATCTACCCCTCTACTCCCCCTCCCACACACCCCCAACCTCCACCTTCCCCACACACATAATCTCCCTCTCATCCTCCTCCTCATCGCTATTCAGCCCCAGCCCCGCGCCGCCCGCCTCATTCCGCTCCTTCTCGGCCGCGGCCAGTTTCACCGCAACACGCTTGAAATAGTCGCCCATGCTGCGCTTCAGCGGGCCCTCGACGCCCGCAATGTACTTGTCGAAGACGGTGTCGCCCTGCGCGACCACCTGGAACAGCGCGATGAACGCCTGCTCGGCGGATAGCTTCACGGGGATGATCATGTCGCGGACGCAGCCGAAGATGGTGGGTGCGAGGAGGGGGAGGTGCGGGCGTACCAACTACACTTGTTAGAAACGTGGAGAAGAGGGAGGAAGAGGGGGGGGGAGAGGGGGACTAACGTCGAAGTGGGTACGGCTAACGGTGCGTAGTACTACGAGCGCGAGGCGCTTGCTGTCGATGGACCCGCTGGTGGGCGCTTTGATGGCTTGGGTGAGTGCTTCGAGGAGGGTCTTGACGGTCTCGTAGCTCTTGGATGTGTGGGGTGAGAGGAGGTACTTTCCGGCTGCGAGGACACAGTTGTCGGATACGAATGGCTGGAGACAATAGTTAGTTAGTATTAGCAATGTGAGGGGAGGGGGGGGGGGGGGAGGAGTGAGTGAGTACCGTGCGGTGTGAAATTCCCTGGCTGATGAGCGCGGGCGTGTCGTCGGGGAAGGAGCCCTCGAGCAGCGTTTCGGGCGACTCGAGGAGGACGGCGTTGAGGCCCAGTACGGACGCTTTGGTGAATGATGGGTTCAAAGCACGGCTCCTACATAGAAGAAAAGAAAAAAAAGAAGAGAGAAAGACGTCAGAATGTGTATCAAGATATCATTTCCCGGGTTAGAGGTGCAACATACCTGATCACTCTCGCCGCATCCTCCGCCCCCAGATGCCTCACCAACACGCCGAGCAGCCTCGCCCCGGCAATCGCCATTTGGTCTACCAATGATCGCTGTGTCAGCCCTCCTACGTAATGAAACGGAAATGATCGTCTGAGCAGGAAATTACCATCATCCTCATCCCCCTCCTCCTCGACCAGCGCCAAAATCGCCGCCCTCGACGCCTCGCCCATATTCCCGCCCGCCTTTCCCACAACCTCAAACAGCGCCTTCAGCATCGCATCCCGCACCCCCCTATCCGCCGTCCTCGCCCCCGCCACCAGCTCCGAGATCAACGGGTCAATCCTGGGCGTCAGCGTAATCAGCGTGCCGAGCGCCTTCGCCGCCCGCGTCCGCAGCACGTCGCTCCCCGTGTCCGCAAGGCTCTTCGCAAACGTGCGCTGCAGCTGCGGCAGGAACGGCTTCAGGTACGCCGGGATCTTCACCAGCAGCGCATTCAGCGTCAGCAGGATGGCCGCCTTGACCTCCACGCTGCGCTCCGACACCACACGGATCAGCGGGCCCGTGATCTGCGTTACGAACGGCCGCAGTGACTCGCCGCTGGCCCGGTCGATGATGTCCGAGATTGCGAGCGCGGACTGCGTGCGCTGCTCGGGCGAGCCGTACATGAGCCCTTGCAGGAAGATGGGCAGGATGGCGTTGATGCCCTTTGGCAGCGCGAAGCCGGGGAGGTCGTGGCCGGGGACGCCGACCTGCTGCAGCACCTGGCGGGTGGAGAGGACGAGCGTCTCCATCTCCTCCTTCTTGAGCTTGCGCGTCAGCTCGTTGAGCGCCGTCCAGGCGTTCTGCACGACGGCGCGGTCGCTGTCGTCGAACGAGATGAGCAGCACGCGGATGCAGTCCTGCGTGTAGCGCGAGTAGTCGACGTCCGTGGCGGCGAAGAACTGTGCGAGGTGCGCGTGGGCGGCCGCGCGCTTGTGGTGGTCCTCGTGCTTGACGAGCTTGAGCATCTCGCTCATCACCGTGTTGAGCCCGTCGTACTCGTCGGCGGACAGGATCACGGTGTCGAAGGCTGCCTTGAGCTCCGTCTGCAGCTCCGCGTCCTTGCACGACACAATGCCGTCAATGAGCGAGTTCATGATGGCCGGCAGACGCCTGTTGAGCGCGTTGCCCGAGACCTGCGCGAGCGATGCCAGCGCGCGGGCATTGAAGTGCGTGATCGGCGGCGCAATCAGCGTCGGGATCAGCGCGGGCAGGATGATGTTCGATCTCGTCTGCTCCGTCAGCAGCGTCAGCAGCGCGGCCAGCGCATGCTCCGCCTCCTCGTCGGACCGCAGCAGGTTCAGCAGATACGGCAGCACCTGGTCCACCGCGCGCTTGCCAATGTCCTTCTGCAGCGCATCAAACGCCTCCGCGGCCGCCTCGCGCACGTCGGTGTCGCCGTCCACAAGCGCCGTCCGCACCACAGAAACCAGTGTCGCCTCATAGTCCTCGAGCGCCTCGGGCGACGTCGACATGACCACCTCCTTGAGCGCAATGCAGATGCCCTGCTTGGCGTCCGTGTCTGTCGCCGTGCGCAGCCCCTCCTCGAGCGTCGGCAGCAGCGTGGCCAGCACGCCGTCGCCCGCCTTCCTGATCAGCTCGCCGAGCGCCTGGCCGGCAATCAGCTTCTGCTCCGGGTTGGAGCTGGCCAGGCGGCGGATGATAAGCCCTGTGAGCGTCGGCACCAGCTCCTTGAGCGTGCGCGGGCTGGCCACGAGCGCCTTCCACACGCCGACGGCCGCAAGCCGCACCTGCCCGGACGTGTCGCAGCGGCAGATGTACAGCGCGGACAGCACCTTGTCTCGTCTCTCCTGGCCCAGCACCTCCAGCAGCGAGTTTCCAACCTCGCCCGTCGCCTCCAGGTCGTCGTAGTCGTCCTGCTCGGCCTTCCCGCTGATGCCCGTGAGGTTGAACAGCAGGTCGCCCACAAGCTCCACGGACGACAGCCGGATCCTATGGTTGTTATCCGCCAGCCCTCTCTCCAGCTCCGGCAGCAGCAGGTCGATCGCACGCGTCGAGAAATTCTTAACCAACAGTCTACCCGCCCTCAGCGACGTCTCGCGGATACTCTCGACGTCGTCCGCCAGCCCCGACAGGATGGGCGGGATGATCTTGTTCAGGTACGCACTGAACGAGTTGCCAAAGCACGCCGGCAAGAAGATAAACAGCGACATGAAGCCCTCCCTGACGGCCGGCTTCGCGCTGTTGGCGTTCTGCAGGATCGTCGGCAGCGTCTCCTCCAGCCTCTGTGTTCCCAGCCCAGACAGCACCTCCGAGAGGGCCTGCGCGGATCCCAGGCGGTCGCCGGCGCCCGTGTCGGACTTGAGCGTGGCCATGAGCCCCGGGATGATGTCGGGCAGCGACTCCTCGCCGAGCTTCTCGACGAGCGAGCCGAGTGCCTTGGATGCGGTTGCGCGCGTGGCGGGCACCGGGTCCACGATGGCGAGCTTGAGACCGGACACGAGGATCGGGATGTGCACCATGATGTCTTTGCGGTCTGTCAGGTGCGCGAGGGAGCCAATGATCTGGGAGGCCTTTCGCTTGGTTGCGGAGCGGTCGCCGAGGCCGCGCTCGAGAATGCGGGCAATCTGCATCAAACATATCAAGTCAGTCCCCCCCCCCCAATCACCAATATAAAAGAAAGAAACAAAAACCATACCAAAGCCAGCGACGGCGCATCCAAATAATGCACAAACGACACCTTCATCAACACGTCCAGCGCCTCCTCCGTATACTTTGTCGGATCACTCAGCGCCCTCAGCAGCACCTCCACCACGTCCTTCACCTCCGGATTACTGATGACCTCCCCAAACTTCTTCAGCGAGCGGTTCGCCGCCAGCCTTACCTCCTTGTGCGAATCATTCAGCACCGTCGTCAGCGGTGGGATGATGTCCGGCAGACTAATGGCCAGCTGGTGCGGCGCCAGATACGCCATCGCCCCCAGCGTCTCACACGCGCCCTTCTTGCTCCGCCACGCGCTCTCGTCCAGCCCGTCCAGCAGGTCCGGCAGGATCACCTTAACCCCGTACGAGCTCAGGCTCGAGAAACACACCTTCGTGGCGTCCGAGCAGGCCTCGCGCACATCGATCACGCTGTCGCCAAAGCCCTGGAGCAGCAGCGGCAGCAGCTGGATGACGTACGGCTCAAACAGCCGTCCCAAGATCAACGACAGCAGCTCAAACGCAAAGAGCGCGCCCTGCCGCATATTGGCGTCCTTCTTGTTCTCCACCGCGCTCTTGAGCGTGCTCATGATGCGAAAGTCCTTCAGCGCCGATATGCCGCGCCCCTTGATGACGCCCGCAAGCCCATACGCCGCCCCGCGCCGCGCCGCATACCCCCGCGCCGCAAACAGCTGGTCCAGCAGGCGCTGCACATAGCCCGACGTCATATCGCGCGACGCCCTGATCAGCGGCGGTAGACACTCGGCAACGGCATACTGCACCGTCTCCGACGGCGTCCCCAGCGTCGCCAGCAGCCGGTCCACAACACCGGGAATCCGCGCATCACCACTCCCCAAGTGCCGCCCAAGCGCCCCGTAGAGGATGATCACCGCCTCGTTGATCCGGTCGCGCAGCTCCGAGCCGTCGTCCGGCGCGCCGAGGCTGCGCTCAAACACGCCCATGAGCTCCTCGACGTGGCGCGCCGCGCCGCGCGCAGCGACAATCGCCGTCGCCGCATCAACCATCTCGTCGCGCACGCCCGCGTGCCGGTCGCCCAGCGGGCCCTCGGAAATAAGCCACGTCGAGAACCCGACCAGCGCGCTATCGTCAAATACCGCCGCGAGCTCCTTCAACGCCAGTGCAATACCGCTCCGGCTCTCCCACGGGTCGCGGTTGTCCGTCTTCTTGAGCATCCCGAACTCGTCGTAGCTGGGCAGGATCGGCGTCGCCTTCAGCAGGTACAGCGCCTTGAGCTGCTCCAGCGTCTCGCCGAAGCACGCCGGGTACAGCCTTACACACTCCCTCAGCGCGCGGGCGGCGGCAGCGCGCAGCTGGCGCTCGGGGCTCTCGAGGAACGGGAGCATCTTCTGCGCGGCGCCGTCGTAGACCTCGAGCACGTTCTCGTCCCAGATCGCTTTGGCCAGGTCGGCGTTCTCGGCGGAGTCGTCGTGGACGGCCAGCCAGAGCTCCTGCGAGAAGTCGAGGTCGGTGAGGTCGATGTCGGACTCGATGGCCTGCAGGGTTGCCGTGCGTACGTTGGTCTGCGGGGTGATGGTGCCGGAGAGGAGGGTTTGTGTCTCGAGGGGGGTGATGGTGGGCGCGATGCAGCGCGTTAGGTCGAGCAGGACGTCTTTGATGAGGGTGTGGTGGGCGGGGTATTTTTGCATGGAGGTGATGAGGAGGGTGAGGGTGTCGGAGCGGGGGAGGAGGGGGTCGGAGCCTGGGTGTGTGTTAGAGTCATGGATATCACGAGGAGGAGGAGGGGGGGGGGGGGGACGTACAGGTCTCGGTGTGGAAGGAGAGAAACTCGATGGCCAGGACCACTTGCTCGTCCGTGTCTTCGGCGGAGCTGACTCCTACGCCGCCCTTCTCTAGAATTAAGCCCACAAAAGGTAAAAGATATACCAGTGAAGTCGTATCAAATGGCCTCTGCTCCGCCATGAATCGTAGCCGGTACAAAATACGTGTAGTGAGTGCTATAAAACCAAGTCCCAACGTGTCAATGATCAACCCACAAGAAATCCCACACCCAAAAAAAAAAAGGGAGAGAGAGAAAACAAACCCCCCAACGGCTCCTCCTGCATCTCCGGCGCCAACTCCCGAATCCCCAGCGCCCGCAGCGTATCAATCCCAATAAACATCCGCAACACGCCCAACCTCGCCGCCACATGCTCCGCACACGCCAAGAACGCCTTCACGCCCGCATCACCGACCACCAGCCCCGCCCCGGCCTCCAGCGCCTTCAGCAGCGCACGCACACTCTGCCCCATCCACATCTCGACCGCCGTCGGCGGGCCCTCCGCCAGCGCCTTAATCACGCCGATGCCCCGCGTCAGCCTCAGATTCACCTCCTCAACCCTCTTCCGCACGCCCCGCTCCTTCTCCAGCTGCTCCGCGACGCGCGCCTTCTCGTCCGCCGTCAGCTTCCGCTCGCTACCCTTCTTCTGCGCCAGCTGCGCCCGCAGCTCCGCTTCCCACTTGAGCGTGTCCGTGTCCTTCCCCTTCGTCACCGCGGCGGGCCCCGCGCGCCCCAGAACGTCAACGTACGGCGCCTCCCCTGCGTGTTTCCAGATTGCGGCCTCGAGCTCGCCGACGCCGCGCAGCTGTGCGGGGTTCAGGTCGTCCGTGATGAGCTTGACAACCAGCGGTGTTATCGCCTCGGGGGCCACGAAGGCCAGCGTCGCCGAGGCCCTCAGCGCCGCGTCGCGGATGTGCGAGCTGCGCCCAGAGAGGCCCGTGTACATGCGTATCTCGCCCACCAGCTGCGCGGCCTTCTCGACGGCCAGCTGGCCGGGGTCGAGCTGCGCGCGCTGGCACAGGCGGATCCAGTCGACGGCGGGCATGAGCGCGTGGTGCGCGACGACGGCCAGGTTGACGAGCTGGTTCTTGACCGTCTCCTCGGGGACCGTCTCGGACGGCGGGCACACGATGGCGCTGATGGCCGTGTGCAGGTGCGAGCCGGCGGTCCTGGCGGCTGCGGAGGGCGAGTCGGACTTGGCCTCCTCGAGGTGGCGCAGCCACTGCCAGACGCCGTTGAGCATGGTGCGCCCGATGGTGTGCGGGGATGCCCGGTGCGCGGCGGCGAGTGCGGACAGGGCCTCCTGCTTGATGGGCGGCGGCACGGCGGCCGCGCTCAGCGTGTAGAGGAAGGCCAGCGCCCACTGCTCGGCGTGGCACTCGTCGTCCACGATGTGCGGCGCGGTGGCGGCGAGCGCGCGGATGGTCCAGCGCAGGTCCTCGGGCAGGTGCAGCTTCGTGTAGACCCTGTGGCTGAGCAGGAACGAGGCCTTGGGCGCCGCGGCCAGCGACTGGGAGACGATCTCCGCGGGCTTCAGCAGTGCCTGGATGGCCGGGTGCGTCCACCTGCGCAGCCTCGACAGCGCGATGGCCGTGTAGACGTAGCCCGCCGTCACCAGCCCGTTCTGCGCGGCGGGCAGCGGGTTTGCGGCCGCCTCGGCCCACGCATCGATCAGCCCCGGCAGCACGGACGCCACAAACGCCTGTGTCGTGCCGGCCGGGTCGCCGTCGCTGTCGCCGTCGCCCTCGCCGTCGTTCTCCCCCAGCGCCCACACAAGATCGCCCAGGCGCGCCGCCCAGATGCGCCGGAACGCCGGGCGCTTGTCGGCCAGCCCCTTCGCCACGGCCTCGCCCACGCCCGTCGCTGGCACGATCCCGGCCTCCAGCTCCTTCGCCAGATGGCTGAAGACCGCGGCCGTCAGCGTCGACGCCACCGCCTCGTTCGTCTCCTTCACCGCCGTGTCCGCCAGCCCCGCCGACACCTTCCTCGCCAGCCCCTGCGACCACGGCAGCGCCTCGATCATCGCCGCATACATGACCCTCTGGTCCGCCACCGTCACCTTGCCCGCCCGCAGCGGCGCCACAAGCTCGTCCGCAATCCGCACCACCGCCCCCTCGTCCGGCCTCGCCGTGCGCTCCATCATCCCCGCCCTAAACGCCGCCATCGCACCGGTCCTAATGTTCGCATTGCTGCTCTTGACGCACGCCAGAAACTGCTTCAACAGCCCGCCCGCAATCGGCACCGCAAGGTCAATCTCCGCCGGCAGCCCCCGCAGCACGCCCACCAGCACGCCGTCCAGCACAACCTCCGGCGCCCGCAGCAGCGCCCGCTCCAGCGCCGGCACCAGCTCGCCCGAAAAGTCCGCCGCCGTCGTGAACTCTGCGAAAAAGTCGTGCAGCCCGTCACAGACATGCGCGGGCACGTGCGTCCGCGAGCTGATGACCTCGCGGACAAAGAACGCATACACATCCTTCTTCAGCCCCTGCAGCGCCTCTTTGGCCTTCTCGGAGCGCGCGCACACGCCGGCCACCGCGCCGAGGAGCAGCGCGTTCTTCTGTGTTGGCGACGGGCCCTTGGCCGTCAGCTTGCCCGCCACGCTCGTGATGATGCTCGCATAGCCGTCGTTCTTGGTCGAGAACGCGGCCCGCAGGCCGCGGCGGGTAGCGGCCAGTGCTCCCCTCTTGATCGAGGCCTTTGCATGGCTGTTCCCCAGGCAGATGTCGAGCAGCGAGACCTGGGCCTCGATGACGCTGTCCCCGTATGTGTTGAACGCCTCCGGGCTCTTTGCTACCGCAGACAGGACGTCGGCCGCCCACTCGAGGAGGACAAAGGCGTTTGATGCGGCGATGCCGGGCTTGTTGGACTCGTTCCTGATGGCCGTGATGAGCGCCTTTGTGGATGGTGCGGAGAGCGTGGGGGAGTCCTGGAGGCTCTGGAGGCAGCGGCGGACGGCGGCCCGGGAGGCGCGGTCGAGGTAGTAGGGGTGGGATTGGAAGAGGAGGCGGAAGACGAGGGGGAGGCGGTCGCTGGGGAGGTCTGTGGGGTGTGTTATGTTAGAATTGGGGTCTATTTTTTTTGTGTTTATTTTTTATTTTTATTTTTAGATGCATCAAGACCGGGCTGGGTTGCTGTGGAGGTAGAGGTGGAAGTGGATTGTAGATGTGCTATATACCATTCTTCAGTATTCGGTCGTTAAGGCTGCCCAGCTCAGCACAGCGCCTAGTCGTGGAGCTGCTGGTGAGTGCCAGCACGAGCGGGTCCTCCATGTTTGTGGCGGGGGGTCCGCTATCGTCGGCCATTCCGTGACGTTCTTATTCTGGCCGTCGTTATATGAGAGAGAGATTGTGGTTTGATTTGATAGATGAGGTTTGTATGGTTTGTGTGTGAAGTGAGTGTGAGTATGTAGTGTAGTGTAGTGTAGTGTAGTGTAGTGTGTAGTGTGAGTGTGTCGACGCGGGGCACAATGTGGGGGCTATGCAGCTATTCTTTTTTTTTAATTCTGTGCACAAAGAGCGAGAGAGAGGTTTGCAGTAGGATGGAGAGATGGTATCTTTGAGATTGATTGATGGTTTACACAAAATGCACTCCTTCTGAAGCCAGTCCTGCACTCTCGATCATTCACCCACTCACTGGCTGCTGCCTGTCTCTGCGGTGAAGTCTCTGCCCAGCAAACAAACAAGCGGTGTGGAGGGGTCGTCGCGTGAGGCGCATTGCGGCTCTCCAGCCACCACAACCACCACAACCACCACAACCTCCACAACCACCACACACTACTAACTGCAATTGCAGTCTACTACCACCCACAGTACGCACTAGCACGCACTTCCCAGACCATGATGTCAGCCAGTCTCCCCAACCCAACCCAAGCAACGTAGAGTAGGTACGAGCAGTACCCAGCATAGTAAAACACCCCAGCCCCAGCCCCAGCCTGCCCCCAGCCTAACGCGTCTCCCTCACTATGCTCCTTGTACTAGTAAAGCGCGTCCTCCCCAGGCTACATAACACCACCATCACCACCACCACCACTCCCATCCTCTCCACCACCGCCGCACACAGCTTCGTAATAATGCCTCCCAAGAGACGTGCCGCCGCTACAAAGTCCGCTCCCGCCGATGTGGATGCGCCTGCTGCAAAGCGCCAAAAGCCCGCTGCTGCACCTGCGGAGAAAGGCAAGATGATGAAGGATGACGAGGGGAATCCGTTCTGGGGGGTTTGTGGCTCCCTTCTCTTGCTCTGTCTCGGTGTTGTTGTTGTTGTTGTAGTAGTAGTGCGGCGGGTTATTGCTACTACTGCTGCACTCTACTACTACTACTACTGCTACTACCTGTTGTCATGCAATTGAATTAAAACCTGGAGCAAATTTTTTCTAATTGGTGTGTAGATTGGCGGCCAGAACCGCCGAGTCGCAGTCACCGAGTTTAAGGGGAACCAGCTCGTCTCGATCCGTGAGCATTACGAGAAGGACGGCAAGATGCTACCTGGCAAAAAGGTCCGCCTCTTACCTCCTACTTCTCCTCATGGGGCTCTTATCTTTTATTTTCTGCAGAATTGCTAACTTAGGGGCGTGACGTATTATTAGGGAATATCCCTCACCGTCGAGCAGCTCAACGCCTTCATCTCCATCATCCCGCAGCTCGAAACGTACCTCGCCAGCAAGAAGGTCACCATCGACCGGCCCGCCTACAACGACTCTACCACTGCTGCAGAAGAGGAGCCGGCGGCGGTAGAGGAGGAGGTTGACGAGGAGGAGGACGAGGAGGAGGATGAGCTGAAGGATGATGACCATGAGGAAGAGGAGGAGGAGGAGGTTATCAGTGAGGAGGATGCGAGCGAGGAGGAGGAGGCGAAGAAGAAGAAGACCAAGAAGTGAAAATAGACTGACGTAGCATAGCAGATGCAATATAGAGCGTATGGGGTTAAAAAGAACTAAAAGGGGTTTCATCATGTATTATTAGAGATTAGAGCTGTATCAGTATCGTTAGAATCGCCCCCGTAATCTATAGCTATTCTCGTAATCTGGTTCGTTCTTGGCGTTTCTGGGAGCGACTGAGCCTGGTGACTGCATCATAATCCATCACTCGCGCTATTCAGCCCAATCAACCGGTCCAGGAGCACAATGCCCCGTCTTCCACTCTCCACCCTCAGTCTCTCTCCATGTATCTATATATATAGTCAACACCCAACTTGAGAGTTATCTGTTGAAAGTAGGGCGAGTCTTAGAGTTTTTCAGTTGATATCGATGTCTGAAGCTGATACAAGCTACATGTATTTTTGTAGGAGCCCGGGGAGGACACCATTCCTCCTGACAGCGGGTCCTTTACTGCCTCGAACGACACATATTCAACATCATCCACATAGCACCTACCTAATTCACCACCTCCCACCTACAACCCACGCCCAGCCACAACCAGAGTCTCACCAACCCGCCTATCCCAAGCCCCTACAGTTCATCCTACACCAAGAAAGATATATGCGTTACTCATGATCACACCACATCAATGCAATCACCGCGCCAAAAGGTAACGAGTCTAGCCCACCCATTTTCCCATACTGTAGCTATTCCCAGTACGTTCCCGGAAGCGGACAAGAGAGGCACCTAGACTCTGAAGTAAAGTGGGGGTGGAGGTGGAGGTGGAAGTGGAAGCCACTGTTGGGCGTGGTCATAAACTATCACTCGCCCGCTTCCTCTCTCACTCCCTACCGTTCTAGTGCACCCGCTCGGCCACGTTGGAGACTACATCCCCGCCGCCCCCCCGCCCCCCCTTCCCCGAAAATGCACCGTCAAATACTTAGCCTAGACGCACCTAGACCCCCTCTTTCATGAAGAAAGACTACCGCTAGAGGTAAGCTAAAGAAGTAGTAGCATACTAGATGTAACCAGTGGGGCTAGGAGGAAACCAGGGAAATGAGAATGGGGGTGGGGTGGCCTGAGAGAGAGTCCATAGCCCCCCGCGGCTGTTTCATAAGTTACTATTTTCTTATTTCGTAAGTCACTATTTCTTACTTCCCATAAGCTACGATGATTTCCATTTGTTACAGGCTACTATGTGGCCTATTGTTTTGCGATTATCTCTTTTCTTTACTGTGTGGGAGGTAGGGGAGGTGGTTGGGGGGGGTTCTGGGGCGGTGTGATATTGTCTAGACTACGGTCTGCATATATACAATTAATGAATTAAAACAAAAATCAAAAACCAGTGGGGTTACACCCACAGCAACCAGCGACGTCCTTAGAACAGGCCGCGGGGGCACGGGTGTGCACGTGTGCGGGGAAGGTATTTTTAAGCCCCGGAATTTCGGTTTGAAGGAGTTGAACAAAGCATCTTTACGTCTACTACGCACAAAGAACTGCTCAGCTTAGCTACATTGTGTGCGACATTACACTTTACGAATCGGAATTAGTATAGATATAATAGCGATAGCAATTGTAAGATTTCAACAGGCTTTTATTACTCCCTACTCCTCCTTCACTCCTTCTCGTTCCTAACTTCGCACACTTCCTCAAGCTCCCCCTCGCGGTACTAAATAGCACACAGCAACACTCGTCACGATATAGCACACATCACATCACAGCACAGCACATCACAGCACAAAGGACTTATATGTAAAAACACAGCTATCCACAGCCACCAGCGTACCATTTCGTCATAACAATCATAACCATCATGCATACAAAAAGATTACTCTCAAAGAGGATATAAAAAAGAACAGAGCGGAGTTACCCCACACACCACACACATATAAAGAATTACAGGATCTGCCACCACCACAGATCCACAACGCGAAGCTAAACAGACAGAGAAGACAGGGAGTGAGAAAGAGAGGTGTTTGGGTATAAGAAGCAAGTACTAGTAGTAGCGGAGTTAGGTATCAATCGTCTGCCAAATCAAACTAACAAGCCAACCAAACAACCAAAGAGTCCCCCCCACCGTGTAATAAAGCGCCTCCGCCGCAGCAACGCAAGAAAACGACTGTATACAAAATAAGTAAAGAGGACCACGCCCCCCACAACAAGACCATACCCGAATGCAGCAGTATGAGTGAAACAAAGAGGAGGGGGTGGGAAGAAGAAGAGTTATAAAAAGTCAACTAATAACTAGAATAGAAAAGAAGAAACCGTCATGATCAAACCAATCATCTACTCATATCATCAAAAAACAAAAAACAAAGAGCACGCGGAAACGTTCATTTTATCATGCCAATTGCCGAATGCCAGCCCTACCCAAGCCGAAGAAAGAAAAATAAACTCCGCGTTTTTTTTTTAAACATTTTCATCTGCTTGTCGTTTCCCTTATTCAACGTCTCTTCTCTCGAAAAGAACGTTTTCGGGGTTGGAGATCGTGTGCAAGTCGTCATCTTTGTTTCGGTTCAACCAAGGAATCCTGTTTTCATCAAATTAGCATTCATTCCAAATTCTTGCGGAGTGTCTAATAACATACCAGCTGGTTCTCTTGCTCTGTCTCCTGCTCTTCTCATCCTCAACACCCTCCTTGTAGTCTCCACTGATCTTGCGACCACTGCCTGATGTAGGCGAAACGAGCCCGTTGCTAACATTCTCCTGCACCAATCTCAATGGGCGAAGCTTGCCCCCAGCAATTGGTCCCATGGTAGTACCGCGGTGCGGGGGAGATGGCAGGCTGCGGCGCTCCCATGGCAAAGGAATGGAGGTTCCCGAAACACTGTCTCCACTCTCGGAAGTAGTAGAGTCAAGGCTGAGATCAGAGTCGCGAGGACGCTGGGTACGGTTACCGTTGTTGAATTGATCGGGACCGTAGAAAGTCTGCGAGCGGGGAGTAATCATTCCCTCTCCACGGTAAAGATTGTTAACAACGCTGGCACCGGAGTAAACAGCATCAGAGTGAGAGCGCTTGTGTGTGTAGCGAGGTGTAGAGCGCATTGATTGAGATCTTGAGAGGGATGGCCTGTCGCCATTGATAGAGGGGGCAGGGGACTTCATGGATGGGGAAGTTTTGCGACTTGAAAGAGACGAAGTCCTTGAGAGCATACCAGATTCCTTAGGAGGTGCGGGAAGCGCCTTCTCAGTATTCACAGCAGAGTCTCCAAGAGGAGCAGTCTTGTCCAGAATAGCCTCGGAATCCTTGTGTTGCAGAATGCGCTCAATGATGTTGTTGATGTACAACGACTGCGCCTTGTTCTGGTCCTTCAACGACTTGACCTCGCTCTCTAGCTTGCGGCACTTCTCAGTCTCGAGAGTCTGAGCAGCCTCTTCGAGCTCCTCGGCAAGGTTCGAAGCAAGAGAAATTGAATTCCTTGGAGAACCCTGGACCTTCTTGATAACGTGGGGCGACTCTGGCTCAGGCTCAACCTCAGAGAAGGCATTGGTAATGTAATCACCCCTGGGGAAGTCACCATTGAGAGCAGCAGAAGAAAGGAGAAGCTGGAAGCTCTCGTTGTCCTCCATCAAACGGGCGTTGGACATGCGAGTTTCCAAAAGCTGCTGCTCAAGCTGTTGAAGCTTGGTGCCACCTTGGTGGTCTGCCTCAGCCAACCTGATCTGAGCTTCAGCGAGCTCGAGACGAAGAGACTCAATGAGTTTATCCTTCTGGAGAACAAGGTTGTTGCTACGGTTAGGTGCAGCCATGTTATTTGAAGGCGCAAATCCTTGAGATTCATCAATAGAAGACTCGGCGGCTATGCATATTGTTAGTCATATTCATGAAGCTTTAGACGGGTGAAACATACAAGTTTTGCGGTTCTCCACAACCTCTGGCTCAGGCGACTTTTCGCGCTGAGCAAGTTGATCCTTGAGGCGCTGAATTATGGTATTCAGCTCCTCTTCTCTGTCCATCATTTCCTCTTTCTCTTGTTGCGCGGCGGTTCTCTGTCCAAATCATTAGTCACGCCACCCAAGGTAATAGTGAGAAAAATGAGCAATTTACCTCCGCCTCGTAGATATTCTCCTGATCTCTCTTTGCCCTCGTCAACTCCTTAACCTGGAGCTCTATACTCTCAATCATCTCATCCTTCTGATGCGCCGCCTCTTCCATCTTGATCTGCTCGGCAAGCGCATCCTCCAACCTGCTCTGCAGCGCCTTTACCTGCTTCGCATACTCCTCGGCGGCGGCCTCCGCCGCACTCTCGCTCTGGGCAAGCCTACTCCTCAGATCCTCCAACATTGCGGCATTCTCCAAATCGGCCTCGCTTTGCACCTCGGTGGACCTCTTTGCGGCCGACCGGGCGCTCAGGGGCGAAGAAATGCTATTCCGGTGCGCCAAGGGAGCGCCATCACGGAGAGTATTGCGACGGGCCGCAGTGGCAGCAGGAGCAGCTGCGCCGGTGGGAGTCGGGGAGCGTGAGGAGCCTCGGGCTGAGCCGGCGGAGGAGGACGCTACGGGAGGAGGCATGGAACGGCGGTTGAGAGGGCTAGAAAGGTTCGCCGGGGGTGGTTTCCGTGAGGAGGCCATGGCGGTGAATCAAATTCAACGGCTGGGTAATGAGGTGGGGGAAGATACACGATAGTGTTTATCAACACTAGTGGGGGATAGACACCGTTGTTCAGAAGTGAGGAGGAGAAATTGGGGGGGGCTTTGATCGAACACCTGGCTTAAGTGTTCATAAAAGGGGGGTTGGGAGGAGGTTGTTGTCGTGGTTTGGTGGACTGGAGGTAACCAGACAAAAAGGGGAGACTAGCAGAAGAAGCAGCAGCGAACAACTCCCCAAGGCCAGCGAGGGAGCGAGAGGGAGGGAGGGGAAGAATGGAGGGAAGAACAAATTGTGAGGTAGTGTGTCGAGAGAAGAAGTGATGAAGAAAGATGATAGGATGGTGAAGATGTAAGAAGGTGAGTGGGTGAGAAGGGAGAGTTGGGGAAAAGAAAGAGAGGGCTCTGTGATGTGTTGGTTGGGGCTGGGGACTCCCTCACTTCGGGAAGTTCGCTAGTAGCAGGAACAGCAGTAGGCGAGAGAAAATGGTTGGTTTGTTGTGTTTGACGGATGTGGATATAGGAGAAAAAAGGAGCTTGTGTCTAGAGGTACATGAGGATGTGCGTATGTATGTCTTTATGTGTGCTCCATGCATGAAGAAGCGTTGGGATCCCATACATACGTCTTCCACTGCTCTACTCTGGGCACAGCACTCTACTTTACTGCTACTTCTACACCTACACTCCGCGCCTCAGGGCCTCCTTTTCGGTGCAAGTACCACCTTGCAAGAGGGATAGAACCCTCGCAACTGTCAAGCTTGGCTGCAGTGCGGTCTGTTCACGACCTCTAGAGTACTTTACATGGGGCTCGTTTTTCCAGTGGGAGCATTATTGTGGGTTAAGGGAAGGGAAGGGAAGGGGAACACCCTTCCCCCACTCGAATTATATGCACTCTACCGGCGATACCTAGACCGAAGGAAGCTGGCCGGCAGAATTCTCCACAGTAGGCACATGTATGCAACCTGCCTACCACAGTGCCACTTGCAAAAAAAAATAAAAAAAGGACCCTACCTACATACATATACATTCAACCTATCATAGGGAAGTACCGACAACTTGACCAGGCTGAAAGGTCTTTCCGTGTTTCGTTTAGGTAGCTGAGCGTATGTACGGTATATGTACGCATTATCAAGACATTTTTGCCTCTGAGTATGATAGGCATCGACAAACTTTCGAGTCCAGCTATAGAGTCCCGTAGAGTAGATGATGGTAGTACTGCTATCTACTTCATAGTATAAATTTCACGGCTACTAATCTAATCTCCCTATCGACCCTTACACACTCTCTATGTGCAACCACCGGGATGGATCTTGTTTATCTAGAGTACCCAGGCACTCTACCGATATTATTGCCCGTTCCCATATTAACTGGAGCCCTACCTAATCTTACTGGTAACTACTTACTCTGGATGAGTTGCCCAATAATAATAATATGATAGTAATAATAATCTGCATGCAAACCCTAACCCATGCAGCCCTCTAATAATCGGCTACAGTGGACGTATGCGGATAGGATGAGAGACAGCTAACTCGGAGTGGAGACAGCAGGTACACCCAGCAAAGAGTACCGAACCCGCGCACGGGGTAGGTACCAGACCGCGTGCCGTATGGCAGTTATCTACAGACAATGCACGATTGGGCACTCGCCGATGCATGGGATCTGACTACACTGCACTACGCCCGGTATCGATTTCTTCCCCGGGCTGTAAGACAGGCAGACAGCATGCCGAATGGACGGATTGGATGGGCGGAGTGGGTTGTGGATTGGTGGACGGGTGGAATGCTGATCCAGAGAGAGGTGTGGGAAGCATGTGAGATTGTGAGATGAGGATGAGGTGGGAGAGATGAGGTGGGATACGCATCCGGGAATCATTCGGGACCTGGCAGATGTGTTGGAGTATGTAGCTTTAGAGTATGTACTCTAGTTAGAGTAGATGTACCTCTAGACGTAGTTGTAGATGTGGATGTAGACGGTATGTAAATGTATGTGAGCAGTGCTGGTGAAGTTCGAAATACCTACTCTAGACCTACATGTACATACACTTCATGTAGGTACAGAGCTGGACATCTCGCAAGTACTCTACATCCAGCGACAGGATCGATCTTCAGGGCCTTTCCGTCAAGATCAGGCGCCCCAACACCACAACCACCACCAAACCCCACACTCGCCCACTACACCACCACCACTAACCACTAACCGCTACCCCACACCAACCAGGCATCCATCCTCTGCAAACGAAATACCACTCCTTCGATAGGCCAGTGCGTGGGCAAACAAACACCAATAAACAAACGATAAACAAATCCCAGAAAACATATTCAAGATGCTGATTGGGCTCTGCGGCAGTAAGTATCTCTCTCGCTATCGCTATCAGTCCTATCTACCATCCTTATCACTATCAGCATCCACTATCTAAATATATCAACATCTACATATATCAGCATCAGCATCAACGTCAGAATCAGAATCAGCATCTCTATCTATACTCTCTCTAATCCACTACTCTAAAAACCTCACCTCTCCCACAAAACCCCCCCCCACTAACAAACCCCCAGGCATTTGTGCGGGCAAACACGAGATTGCCCACCACCTCATCCGCAACCATGCCTTTACAGCCCTCAAGATCATCCCTCCTGCCCTCCCTAACCCCTCTCCCACCATACGCTCCACCTCCACGCTCCCCACTATTCCCGAGCACGTCTTCCCGACCGCCCATGCCCTCCTCGACTTCGTCACCAAGCGCTGGCGCGAGCCCTTCGTCACCACCGACATCTGGGACGACCACATCCTCGACGTCCTCCGCGTGCGCCCCTCCTTCATGCTCGTCAGCGTCTCCGCCCCCCTCATGACCCGCTGGCACCGCTACAACGCCCGGTAACCCTCCTCCTCCTCCTCCTCGCTCCCTCCCCCACCACTAACCCCTCCCCAGCAACGCAACCCAAGGCCTCCCCCCCATCCCACTCGACGAGTTCGCCGCCGCCTCCGACACACACCTCTACTCCCCGCACGGCCTCTCCTCCATCGCCGCGCGCGCAACCCTCTCCCTCCTCAACCCCACCACCTCGATCTCCACCCTCCACACCGCGCTACGCGCCCTCGACCTCACGAACCCAGAGCGCCTGCGCCCCTCCTGGGACGCCTACTTCATGCGTCTCGCATCGCTCGCCGCCCGGCGCTCAAACTGCATGAAGCGGCGCGTGGGCTGCGTGCTCGTGCGCGGGCACCGCGTCATCAGCACGGGGTACAACGGCACGCCGCGGCACCTCAAGAACTGCAGCGAGGGCGGGTGCGGGCGGTGCAACAGCGCGGCCGAGGGCGGCGTCGGCCTCGACGCCTGTCTGTGTATCCACGCCGAGGAGAACGCGCTGCTGGAGGCGGGGAGGGAGAGGATCGGCCATGGGGCGGTGCTGTATTGCGATACGTGCCCGTGCTTGACGTGCAGTATCAAGATTGTCCAGGTGGGGGTTGTGGAGGTGGTGTACAGTAAGGGGTACAGTATGGATAAGCAGACGGCGGCCGTGCTGGAGGAGGGGGGTGTGGTGCTGAGACAGTATTCGCCGGTGAGTGGTTCTGTGGACCTGTAGAGGGGGGCGCACTGACGTTTAGGGATAAGCCGAGGGACGGATTGGTATATCTGGATGAGACCGATTAAGAGACGAGAAACTCTATGTATGTGTGTGCGTGTGTGATACCCCTTGCCCTTAAAGTAAATGAAAAAATGAGATCCATGAAGTAAAAAGGTAGGGCTAGCTTTGGTTTTTATTGTGATTGGCGGAATCGCTATGTGTGAGATGGAGATGCATCATGGGTGATCATTCAGGCCGTGGTTCTCAAATTATCACTCGCACTGTCAATGACTTTTTGAAAGTTTTTTTTATTACCAGAAAAACTTAACTAAAAGCAAACTAAACTACCACGTAAACATCCATTCGATACTCCATTATAGTACATCTACGTAAGTATCACCACTACGTTCAAATAAATAAAGAGAAAATTATTATTATTACCTACTCTACCTAACTACAGTACTGTACTCCTACCTCCATGCACACAACCCATCCGTAGTAGTAATGCCTCACAAGGCTCTTACTAAAAAGATGGGATGATACCATCTAGGTAAAGTTCTTTTTTCCATGTCTTGGCAAAAGTGGGGCAACGCTTCTGCCCCGCCATGGGATTGAGATGGGATTGGGATGGATGACTCCTTGAAGAGTGACTCTTTCTTTCTTTCCCTTCCTGCCCTGGGTATATAGTCAGTCAGTCAGTTCAACTCACTTCGAGGCCTCAATTCGATCCGCTCGCTCTCTACCTCTCCACCTCCCTACCTCTCTACCTAAAAAACCTACCAATTGACCATTGACTATACCGACAATGGCCTCCTCAAATCCCAAACCCACCGTCCACCTGCTGGACACTGTTGCGTGAGCCCCCAATTCCCTCTTTGGCCCCTCGAGGCAGCCTATTAACACCCACCCTCAGAGGCAACATCCGCTCCCTCGTCAACGCAATCGAGCACCTCGGCTTCGAGATCCATTGGGTCCGCAGTCCCTCCGACCTTCTCACCGCCGAAGTACCCCCCTCCTCCCCAATCTCCCTCCCTCCCTACTAACACCCCTTCAGCGCGTCATCTTCCCCGGCGTCGGCCATTTCGGGCACTGCATGCAGACCCTGACCGCCGCTGGCTTCACTGAGCCCCTCAAGGCCTTCATCGCCTCCGGCAAGCCCTTCATGGGCATCTGCGTCGGCCTACAAGCGCTCTTCGCCTCCTCCGCCGAGTCACCCGGCACTCCCGGTCTCGGCGTCATCCCGGGGAGTCTAAAGCGCTTTGAGTCCAAGGATAAGGCGGTGCCGCATATTGGGTGGAACAGCGCGACCCCCGCGGCAGGGGAGGTGTATGGGGAGGGACTGTGCGGGCTGAGGCCGCACTCGAAGTATTACTATGTGCACTCGTACGCGGTGCCGCTTGAGGCGGTGCATGGGTCGGGCTGGGACGTGGCGGTGGGACGGTATGGGGATGAGGAGTTTGTGGGCGCGGTGGGGAGGGGGAATGTTTTTGCGACGCAGTTCCACCCCGAGAAGAGTGGTGTTGCGGGGCTGCGGGTTTTGAAGGCGTTTTTGGAGGGGGTTAAGGTGTCGCCGTTGGCTGGTGCGGTGGAAGAGGTGAAGGCCGTGACGGGGCTGACGAGGAGGGTTATTGCGTGTCTGGACGTGCGCGCGAACGATCAAGGCGACCTTGTGGTGACGAAGGGTGACCAGTACGACGTGCGGGAGAAGGCGGCTGCGGGCGGGGACGTGCGGAACTTGGGGAAGCCGGTGGAGCTGGCGAAGCGCTACTACGACGAGGGGGCCGACGAGGTGACGTTCCTGAACATCACGAGCTTCCGCGACTGTCCGTTGGCGGACCTGCCGATGCTGGAGGTGCTGCGGCGCACGAGCGAGGTTGTGTTTGTGCCGCTGACCATCGGCGGCGGCATCAGGGACGCCGTGGATACCGACGGGACGAAGGTTAGTGCGCTGCAGGTGGCGACGATGTATTTCCAGAGCGGCGCGGATAAGGTGTCGATTGGGAGCGATGCGGTTATTGCGGCGGAGGAGTACTATAAGCGTGGGAAGGAGCTAAGGGGAGATACGGCGATCGAGAGTATCTCAGGGGCCTACGGGTGCCAGGCTGTCGTGGTGTCAGTGGACCCTAGGAGGGTGTATGTTGCATCTCCTGAAGACACACCGCGGAATACGATCAAGACGGCAAAGAAGGGACCGAACGGCGAGGAGTACTGCTGGTACCAGTGCACCATCAAGGGCGGGCGCGAGGGGCGCGATATGGATGTGCAGCAGCTGGTCCTTGCCGTGGAGGCCATGGGGGCGGGAGAGATCCTGCTCAACTGTATTGACAAGGACGGTACCAACTCTGGTTTCGATCTGGAGCTCATCGAGATGGTGAAGAGGACTATCAAGATCCCGGTTATTGCGAGCAGTGGGGCAGGCAATCCGAGCCACTTTCAGGAGGTGTTTGAGAAGACGACAACAGATGCTGCGTTGGGGGCTGGAATGGTGAGTGTTATATCGAACTCTGGTTATGGGTGATGGTGGGACTGACCTTTTCTCCTCTTGCAGTTCCATAGACGGGAGTACACGGTAAAGCAGGTGAAGGAGTTCCTGGCAGAGAAGAACCTGGTGGTGAGGGAGGTGGAGGAGTATGATCTGTAGACCCTTTTTTTTTTTGTTCTTTTCCTTCTCGTTTTGTGTTGTTTCTGGGTTGTCCTTGTTTGTAGTGTAATGTAGATATCAACTACACGAGTGTAGCCCCAGTCGTACATCTTCACAGCCCATCACTCGGTTCACATCCCGGGAATAGTGTTGAGAAAGTAGGACAATGCAGTTGGGTGACTTGATTCTTATCTCGACAAGGAGTCTGACTACATGTAGCTATATAGTCACGATTGGATAAGTGTCGACATGGTAGTGATAGGTGTCGAAATGCCAAGTTCGGACAGCTCACCTATACATCACTCGAAAGGCCAAACATCCAACAAATAGAATGAGATCGTGAAGTAATCTGATTGACAGCTAGGAAAGAGAGTCCAATAAGCACTTTGCAGCTGTAGCTGCCGTATATTAGAGGACAAGGCCTAGACACAATAAACTGTCGAGACGAGCTGATGTGCTCAAGCAGATGTTCACTTATTGGGTCTCTGGGTCTGATACATGCTGAGCGCAATAGAATTCCTTAACACGGAGCTAGCCAGCCAGCCACGGCCCAAACCTTAACCCGCGCCAAGCGACACCCGCAAAGTAACCACCAAGGTATCCGTCTTCTCCACCCATCCATCATCCACCATCATCCGTCCCTCGCGGCCCAAACCATCCAAAACACCTCCTCCTCCGAGCGATATATTGAGCCCTCCTCGCCTCGCCTCGCACCAAACAAAGCGTGTGTGTGACCTACATATGTGCCCGTGTGCGCCCCTCCCGCCGCAACTGCATCTGCCAACCAGTCACAGCGCGCAAGAGAGGGCAGAAAAAACAAGCTTTTGGTCTTTGTTTAAATCTCTCAGCGACACAGCATAAATAGAGTCCGTGTCCAATAGCAAGTGTGGAGAGCCAATTAGTTAGAATAGTAGTTACAATATTTAGAAGAATAGTAGCCTCTCCGTAGAGTTGTAGTTATATCGTTAGTAGTGAATTTAAGTAGCGACACCACACACCCAATAGCAAAAAACCCCGCAGCATCTAGAATACTCTACGCCGAGCTGCACCCCGCCAGTTGCAGCCAGCCAGCCAGCCAACCCGACTGGCCTCGTCTCTCACTCTTCCCCGGAGATCTTCACACAGACTGACCAGGGTGCAGTCCGCTCCCTGCCTTCTTCATTCATGGCCAACTTGCACCCTCCTCTTGGCAACGGAACCAGCACGCGCTTCATATTCACCCTGGACCCTCTCCCAGTAGATATATAAAAAACCTACAAAATCACCCCCGTCTCTTGCCAGCAAGTTAGCCAGTATCTACACCGCCAGCTAGCCCGCTCGCCATCCCGCCAGCCAGCCCGCAAAATGGCATCACCGGCACCCCCAACCCCAAAGACCACCGGCAAAAAACACGTCCGCCCCAAAGCGCTTGTATGTCGCGTCTCTCTCTACCCTCAGCCCATCCCACCCAGCGGTGGGTAGGGCGGGCGCTGTTCTGGATACTAACGACTAGTACGCAAATAGGCGCGGAAAGCATCCGTCATCATACCCTCGACCGGCGTGCGCATCCACAGGACGTCGACACAGTTGCCGCGAAACTATACACTTGGCCGCACGTCCGTTTATCACCCCACCATAGCTGGGACTAAAACTAAACTAAACTACATACAGAAACAGCAACTCCACCTCTGCCGACGACACCACGCCCCTCCTCGGCGGCGTGCAAGGCGGCGGCCGAAGCGGAGGAGGATGGGAGAGTAATGCGGTAGTGAGGCTGCTCGACGGCGTGGTCGAGTTTGTGGGTAGCCAGAAGGGGCGCATGGTGCTGAAATGCTCGTTTGCGTATTTTTTGGGAAGCTTGGCTACGTTAGTTGTCTCCAGGAAGAGAGGGGGGGGGGGGTTAGTGGTGTGTTTGATTGGAGTGCTGAATGAATGAATGGGTGGCGTAGGTTCGTGAGCCCGATTGCGGCAATGTTGGGGAAATATGATGGGAAGCATATGGTAAGTCTTCTGTAGAATTAGCGGGAGTGAGAGTGGGCGGTGGGCTAACGGTTGGTTTCCACCACAGGTTGCAACATGTGCAGGTTAGTTCGCCACAATGATCAATGATCATGATTCCATTTTTTCCGTTCCTACATGTAGTTCCAGACGCTAACACACTGCGATAGTTTACTTTCATCCCGGTAGCTACTTCTCCACACTAACCCGATTCATAAATTGCTACTATTACTGCTACTAACACTACGTGATTGCACCCAACAGCACGGTCTGCAGGCAGTAGGTAACCGTCCGTCCCGCGAGTGCTACCGCATGAAGCTGACATACACGGGTGCGGTAGGCATGTACGAGGCGACACTCTACGCTCTGTGTGCGTTTGCGTATAGCACTGTTGTTTCTGTTGGGAGGTATTGTGCCACTCTACTCTATTCTTCTACTCTGGTTAGTTCGCAGTAACTGACGGGATGGGATGGTGCTAGTATGGGGGTTTCGAGTCTGTTTGCGCGGTTGGATATGATTGAGCTTGGTATGTATCTTATCTATCATCGACTCACGGCTTCGGCTTGAGGAGAGGTGTGGCTGCTAACAGACCCCCACAGGCCACGCGCTCGTTCTCCTTATCTTCTGCGCCGGCGGTCTCGGCCTGATCGGATACACCAAGCAGGCCATGGCCAGTCCCACCGTCAGTGTAGCCTGCTCACTGGCCTCGATTGCGATTATCACCATCCTGACGAAAGAAGGTCAGCTACACACATCCCCCCCACATTTGCCTAACCCACTATTAACACTAATAACCCCCCGTAGGAAATGTCCAACGCGGCGGTTTCACGCTCGGAAAGATCTACCAGGTCTCTACGATTGTGATCATGGCCATCACGATATCCTCCTTCCTGGCACTGACGCTCTGGCCCACCAGCGCAGTCACAGAGCTGCGGCAGCTGATGATCAAGTCGACCGACTCTTTTTCCGACATGGCAAGTTCCCCAATAACTCGGCGGGTATACCACTATTGCTAACAACAATCACAGCTAACAATTATCACCCGCTCCTTCCTCAGCGGCACCGAAGAAGAGCTGCTCGAACCGCAATTTGTCAAGGCCTCCACCAGTCTGCGCACCGTCTTCGTCCCACTCATGAAGAACCTGCGCGAAGCCAAATACGAGCACTACGTCCGCGGCACCGAGCGCGAATACGTCCTCGAAAAGAAGATCGTCGAAACCATGCAGCGCCTCGCGCAACACATTGGAGGTCTCCGCAGCGCCGCCTCCACCCAATTCGCTCTCCTCTCCCAGGCCCAAAAGCTCGCCGCCACCAACCCCACCACCACCGCCGGCGCAAACACGCCCGCGCCCGGGAACCAGCAGCGGGTCGCGAGCGAGGGGCCGCAGCTGTTCACGCCGCCAGACCACGACTCGTACCTTGCCGCGCCGGATCTGTTTGAGTGGTCAGCGTCGGATGCGGCGAGTATCGATACGCAGCTCTCGACGGCGCCGCTGACAGTCTTCGACACGTTTATATTCCACCTGGGGCCGCCGATGAAGTCGCTTGCGTACACGCTCAACCTCATGCTCGAGGAGCTGCCGTTCTCGTCCTCGCACCCGATCGCGTCGCACACCATCAAAGTCAACCCCGCGTTCCGCGAGTCGCTCAAGAAGGCTGTGGAGCTGTACTCGGAGGCGCGCATCGAGGCGCTCAACACGCTGTACAAGAGCGAAGCCGTGACCAAGGAGCGGCCAATGGACGAGGCGGCGGACGTGGAGGAGATTGCGGCCAGTTGCGGGTATTTCAGTAGTTGTCTGCTGTACTTTGCCGAGGAGATGGGCCGCTTTCTGAGTCTGCTGGAGGAGCTGGAGCATCTGCAGAAGGAGGGTGGCAGGACGTGGGAGTGGCTCAAGTTCTGGAAGAAGCCGGCCGGGGCGAGGAAGCAGCGCAATGATGTGGAGGAGCTTGGGGCCACAAAGTTGAAGGCCAGGAATACGATCCCGAATGTGGCCCCGGAGGCAGAGGTGCCGTTTACGTATAAGCTCTGGAAAGCAATGAGTGTGCTCCGCCGCGATGAGATCAAGTTTAGTATCAAGGTCGGCGTTGGCGCCGCCGTGTATGCGCTCCCCGCCTTCATACCGTACACTCGTCCGATCTACTCCCACTGGCGTGGCGAGTGGGGGCTTGTCTCGTACATGATCGTCATGTCCATGACGCTCGGGCAGACCAACAACTCCGGCAATCTGCGTGTTCTCGGCACCATCTTTGGCGCCATCTTTGCGCTCGTCGCCTGGGAGACGTTTGGCGCGAACCCGTATACTCTCAGCGTCTTTGGCTGGCTGGTCTCAATCCCGTGCTTCTGGATCATCCTTACATGGAAACAGGCAACGTTCGGGCGCTTCATCCTGCTCACCTACAATCTTAGTGTTCTGTACGCCTACTCCCTCTCCAGGGCAGACGCAGATGACGACGACGACGAGGGCGGCGTCGACCCGGTCATCACGGAGATAGTACTCCACCGTTTCGTTGCCGTCACCGTCGGTGTCATCTGGGGTGTCTTTGTCAATGTCGCTATCTGGCCCATCAGTGCCCGCCAGCAGCTGCGCCGCGGCCTGAGTGTCCTCTGGCTACGTATGGCGCTGATCTGGCGCCGCGACCCCCTCAACTCCCTCATCGAGGGCGAGAGCGACAAGAAGTACATGAATATCCACGAAGAGCACGCGCTCCAGAAAGCACTCCTACGCCTCGGAACACTGGTCGCTGCCGCGCCCCACGAGCTGCGTTTGAAGGGCCCGTTCCCCGCGGCAGAGTACCAGAAGATCCTGGCAGCGAACCAGGCAATCCTGGATGCGTTCCACGGTATGAGCGTTATGATCATGAAGGACCCAAAGGCGAACAGGCGCGAGGCGGATATCTTGGAGTTTACGAAGAAGGAGCGCGCGGACCTGTGTGCCAGGATTAGCCATCTATTTTATGTCCTGGCGAGTTCCATCAGGCTGGGATTCCCGCTGCCAGAGAGACTCCCGAATACGGATCGTGCG